ATATAAGTATAAGTATATTATAAAACTAAAGCTTATAGAGTCCTTTATAAGGGCTCTACTTCTTAAAAAGTTCTTTTATAATACAAATCGTATACTAGTTACTAAGTTATCGGCGTCTTATTACTAGCCGCATCCTAAATCTATTATAAAGACCTTTTATAATACTAAAAATAATAACTAGAAGGCTCGAATTTATAAAAAACTAGATCTAAAACCTAAAAAAATAAATAGTAGTATATAGTTTAGTACGAAGACCTTATATAGAGATTTATTTACTAATTTTTAATAGTTTTAGTACTAATTCTCTAACGAGTCGTCCTATTAGAATAATACTTCTACTCTAACTAAATAGGTCTTTAAGTTACTAAAAAACCGCTAGAAAAAGAGATTTATTAACCTCGTTAGTTATATTAAAGCGAATATATTTATTATAGTATAAGTAATAGTATAGAGGGATAGTCGCTCTAAATTAGTCTTCCTTATTCATAATAACCGCTCTTAATAATAAGAGTATAATATAAATAGCTATATAAATTACCTAGAAGAAGGGTATTTACTATACGTAAATAATATACGTTATTTTATATAGGATAATACCCTTATTTATATTATAAAGCGGATAATAGAGTAGTTTATAGCCTATAGGATTTCCTACCTCGAATAGCCCCTATATTTACTAAACCTTAACCTAATTAAGTATTACTAATATATAATAAAATCTAACTTACGTAAACTATACCTAGAAGTATTTACTTTAAAAAAAAATGAGTTAGATATAAAAGAGTTTAAGTAGTAATTAAGAATAGCGTAAGAGGCTATATTATTAAAAAAGATTTAGAGTTTAATTAACTCCTTACTATACCGACTTATAGTAATAATTTATATACGTAGTTAGTATATACGATACTAAATAGCGAACTCAGGGCTTTTTTTTATATATATTTTTGTTATATAAATTAAAAAATTAATAGTTCTGCGGCTAGTCGAAGTATAGTAGTGAAAATATAGGAGGTTAGGTAATTAGGGACAATGGTGGGGTGTACACGAACTTTTGACACCCCACTGTATTTCGTACTAACCGTGCCCAACTTGTGATTACCTACCTTCCTACCTTACCACGCTTACCCAGTAAATAGATACTTATTGCAGAGAGGGGTCGCTAGCGAGCCTTGCACGTTCTCAACTACCTATCTTACCGCACAGAACGCCGATACTCACTTTACACTAAGAGACCTCAAACCTCAGCCTCACATTCATCCAAATATCAATCCCGGTCCACCAGCCTAGGCCGTCAGTTCTATCTCCTACCAGGCTCAACAGTTCCAGAATTATCTAATCGAGCTACACTGCCACAGCTACGTTGTTCAAGCCAAAGATCGATGAAATAAGCTCATTTATCGCTTCCCATACCCGCATTGCCGTTGCCTTTGCCGCATTTCGATTCATAGTTTATTCTCCTCCCATCTCCTCCCACACACAAACACACCTTCTCTCCATCCCCCACGCTCTTCTCTTAAATCTTCTGACACTCGCTGGCTCTTTGTGAGCCCCCTTTCACGGACCCCCTAGGGACGGATACTCGTTCCCCAGTGTCCATTATCCAGACCTAGACTACCACCATACTGTCGGTTCTATTCACTCCACATCCCTCTCTGATCACCTCTTGCTTGCCAACCACCCGTAGTGCAACTCATTCGCTCTCATTCTGAAGGAGGTATCGAAAGGCAACTGCACCTCCGATATAACAAGCGTTCCCGTTGTCTCCTCTAGTCGCCTAAGTTCTCGGTTTCCGAGACCATTTAACTACTGTCCTGCAGCGCCCTCCTTACGGGCCCTGCCTTGGCCAATAGTTCAGAGAGGACCTTGACGCACACTGGCACACACCGCCGCAAAGCACGGCTTAGGCACGCTGCAGTGTTGGGTCTGCGTTGTTCTTTATGAACATGGATTCCGATTCCCGGTCCGCGGGCCCCGATGACCAGGGCCTCCGTCGAGCTGTATGTCACATACATCCATATTCAGACTATTTTGCTTCACACGATCCATCGGACCTCTTTCTCACCAGTAAAACCTCGTCCACTAGAATCAAATACTGACTTTAATTCTTTGTCGTCTAGTGTGATCAATGTCGCACCCGTAAAGTTGGTCCCCCCAATACCGCTCGTGTCTGTCCCTTGGCCAGCCCTCGATCGAAACTGTACCCTCCAAGCAGAGCATTCTTCCTGCCCTCTGTTGCCCCTCCTCCCCCCAACTGCCTTGTGCCAAGGAGATATAGCCCACGCGTTAAATTGAGAGTCCGGATTTGCTGACAAGAACACGTTTTGGCTTTGTGCTACAGATCCGTTGTGATAAGAGTTCGCCATGTTCCAACTGCCGTATAACTCAACGCTCCTGCAGCTCAAACGGTGTTGGTCAGAAGCCGAAGGAGCAGAGACATCGCGTGCTCATTTCTCTTCAATAGTACGCCATCCACCTCGCCTTTCTTTGTCCCCTCCCTAAGTTCTCTACCTCACTTCATATCCCTCACTCTCAGATCAGTTCATTGTCTTGTGTTCACCAGCACGGCTCCCTGATACCACTGGGCTCGCGAAATAAAAAGCCAATGTTGATATTGCCATAACTAGCGAGAAAAAGATTGATCTCATCGAGGAACGACTTTCGAATATCGAGGAGCTCCTGCGGAGCCTCAGCAACAACCCTCCTGGTGTAGGTGGTCATTCATGGGATGCCACTAGGGCCAGACATACGACGCCCTCAGCCTCGACCATCGGGGATGCTTCTGTCCTATCCCATGACGGTGCAGATTCGGATTCGGCTTTCGAGGGCGACCTCTCTCTGACTGCCCACACCATGTTTGCCAGCGACTTTATCGAAAACGCCGTGCAGAGGACATCGCTCCAGGACGTGGCGCCCAACATGCAAGTTGCGCTCTCTTCCCTCCGGCATATCGTCGCTATGCAGAGCAAGGCCTCTTCCAATCGAGATTTTCGGTTCCGTACGCATCAGCCGCTTCCTCCAGGAGGTCTACCTGAATTGCCCATGCCGCCGATGAACGCCGTCGTTGCTTTGCTCAAGCATATGAAAGGTCCTCTCATTCCTAATCTTCAGAGTTCAACAGACTGACATGAGAATAGTTTCTCCCCCTAGCATATTTTCACTCGCATGCTCTTTCCTCGATGTTGATGACCTGGCCGAGCTCTGCCGGAGAGTGTACTTCTGCACCGACAACTTTGCTGATACCACCTTCATCATAGTGAATGGGGCGCTCTTCTACTTGTTCATGGAACAAGCATACCTAGCATCGGATGCGACCGCTCGCGAAGAGTTTGAAAGGTACCAACATATGTGCCAGAGCAATCTAGAAATGGCGCTAGCTTCCTTGCCTTTGATGCTCCCTGCAAAGGTCGAAAGCATAGAAGCCTTGCTCCTGGCGGTCCGTAAAAGGTCTTGCTGTGCTTGTTTGTAGACGATACAGCTGACAGCGACTGTAGGCCGTTTATGCTGTGGATGTATCTAAAGCGTCGCTGGCGTGGCTTTTCACATCCACTGCTGCAAGCTTGTGTCAGACGCTTGGTTACCACCGCGTATCGCAAGTGAGGAGCGAGAGTGCCGGACCTAGAGACATCAAGACCCTCTTGTTCTGGCATGTGTACATGCTCGACAAAACATTGTCTCTGAGAACGGGGAGAGCATCGGTCATCCAGGACTGGGACGTCACCTTGCCGCGGCGGGTCGACAACACCATGGTTGCGGATCCATGGGGTCTCATCATAACAACGTGGATCAAGCAGGCTGAGATCCAACACCGCGTTTATGAACAATTGTTTGACTCCACTATCTCAACGAGACATGATATCAAACTAACCTGCATGGCAGATACAGTCCACTTGCTCTGGGCCAGTCGCAAGAAGAGCGCATCGAGACCGTGCGTCGCCTGGAAAATGAACAAAAGACGATCATGGCCGCTGCGTCGCATGTGCGGGAGCAGGCTCTCTTCGGCCTCAAGGCCCTCAACGCATCGTCTATCTTGGACATACACCTGCGAGGCGACGAACTGACATTTCAGTCCACGTTGACTCTCATCTACAGGGCGTTGCCAGCGCCCGAAGGTTCGCCAACACGGTTTTCTCAGGAATGTATAGACACGGCACGATTTGCCATGCAGCTACACCTTGAATGCATGCAGAGAATTGCCGAGGAAGGGCGGCATCTTAAAGCAGTCTATATTCACTGGTTAGTCGAAGCAGTAGACTATTACGATCCATGCTGACTCCTACGCAGGGCAATTCTCCTCACGCCTTTCACGCCCTTCTTCGTCCTTTTCTGTCACGTCATTGACACTTCCAACGCTGGCGACCTCAAGAAGCTTAATGAGTTCGTCGCTTCACTTCGACCCGCATGCGCCATGTCGGAGCCTGTAGAGAAGCTTCACCAGCTCTGTTCAATGCTCTGTAACGTGGCGACTCTATACGTGGAGAGCAGATCCCAGCAATCAAATGAACGCGGCCCCATCAACGACGAATTCGATGTCTACCTGAGCGCGTTGGGATTCCCGCCCACGGTGTATCCTGCTCAGGGCATGGATACTAGCGATATGTCGCAGCCTACCCTTCAAACTGCTCAACTGGGCAACTGGTTTTCGGGTAGCCAGTACATGATGGGATTGCTTGAAGAAGACCTAACCCAGTTCAACTAGACTGGCTGCGAAGGAACGGCCGGAAATGAGCCATCGCATTCCCGCCGCGTTGAGTACAATTGACCGATCGTGACCTCCCTAACACGATTTCATCTCCGAGAGTTCCTCGAGGATGCGAGGCTAAGCAGTGGCTAGCAATGTGAGAGCTGAGTGATAGTTCCAGGTTTCGCCACATGACATTGTGAGCCCATATAGAATGGAAATATTGTCGAAACGCCTCATTGCCTTAAGCTACTCCTGTGTCCTTTCAAGCTCTAGCCGGCTCTATTGCGCATGATGTTTGTCGTGCGTTTGGCTTGAGCTTTCACTCGGTGGGGTATTTCGGGTCGTAATGTTCGTAGTCTTCGTCGTCGGTATCGCTCTCAATCAGGACATCCCGTTCGCGTGCGTTCGCAAGTCTGTCTGCCTCTAGGGCTTGGCCGACTTTTGATCTCGGGGCGTCTAGCGCGTTTGGGGCATCGACGAGGGCGAATGCCGATTTGAAACCTGACTTCTTGAAGCCGCCCTTCTTGAGTCCTCCACCTGTCGTAGACTGCTGCGGCTGCTCGTTGTTGGCGAGCTTGATGCTGACAAGGCCATCCGCCCTGGCTTCAGCCTTCCGAGCTCGGGCGCCGGCGTTCGGATCGCGAACCATAGCCTTCATGTCTTTGAGACGTTGTTTATGGCTGTGGTCATAGCTACTAAGGTGCGCCTCGTAATCGTTCATGCGAGAGTATCCTTTCGAACAGAGGCTGCAATAGAATGATTGCAGGGCTTCGCGGGCGGCTGCGGTCTGCGCCGGGGGCAGTGTTTGGTGTCGCTGGGCAAGCGCATGTAGAATTAGAAGTTTGGTCAAGCAGAGAGAGAAACTAGAAGTTCTCTTACCGGAGGCATGTTTGTGGAATTAAGATAGCGAAGAGCTACCGGTCAGGCGCAACGGGAATATGTGATGGTCGGTATGGGGAAATGCTATCAGCGTATTTTTGGAGTCCTGGCTGAGATGTTACCAAGCTCGCAGGTTCCCGAAGTCCCAGCAACTTAGACCCACAACGTTGTGTGGGGAGTCGCAGCACGCCCTGAACATTACACATACCCGAGGTACTCCGTACCTTTACCTGGGTAAGGTACCTTGCTGCCGTAGGTGAAGGCCTTGCGGCTCTCCGGATTGACGCCAGGCCCACTAAACCTGCAGGCTCAGACGCGGGAACTGGCAAGTGCTGCCGCCCTTGCAACGTCAACCTATGACGTTCCGAGGATTGATCAGCTGCCCAGTTTGACAATTTGGAGGCCGACATTTCAACTTCACCTTCCAAGTCTCAATTCTCTAATCTGTACAGCTCGATTTCAAATTGCACATATTCTGCTTCCAAAGACCGGTCTCGGTCGTGCCGGCGCTTGCGTAGCTATGGAGTCCAGATCTCTTCACTCGAAACCGTCGGAAGAGACTCTTATATCGCTCCTTCAACTAGACCCATCCCCAATCGAGACGCCACCGGCGGACGTTGATAAAGATCTTCCTCCTCTGCCTGAAGATGCCCTAGAGGATAGCATTGGCTCTCTCAGATCAACCTCTTCTGCGCCCGGATTAAGCGGCAGCGGTCACAGCGCTATCTTCTACCGTAAGTTGCCGAATGCGAATGCAGCGACAGAACCTGCTACCTTCAATTGCAAGTTGTATTGGCTAATGCGTACAAACGTTCTAGTAACACGGATCCAGAAGTTCTCTTCCTACCTAGTACCAGTTTTCACATCACTCCACGTCGTCAACACCTCGATAATACCACTGTTTGCGCGATCAGTCCCAGCTTCCGAGGCATACCTGCTACTTTCGAGGGAGATTTACCAAACATCTCTTACGGAGCCAATTCTCGTAGCGTTGCCCATCGTTGCACACATTGCCTCTGGATTCGCTCTCCGCCTAGTTCGCAGATCTCAGAACCTAAAGCGTTATGGAGGCAACACACCTGGCATGTACGCCTTGTATCGAGCCCAGACCGGCAAAACATCACGAACCTTGACCTACAATAGCGTCAACTCCGCTAGCAGGATATGGCCGTCCGTCAGCTACATATCTATCTCCGGCTACGTTTTCACGGTTCTTCTCGCTGCTCACGCGGGCATTAATCGGATCCTTCCCCTTCAAGTTGACGGCGATAGCTCGAACATTGGCTTGGGCTTCGTTTCGCATGGGTTTGCTCGACATCCCATCATCTCGTGGATTGCATACACCGGTCTTCTCGCAGTAGGCTGCGGACATATGATTTGGGGCGCAGCAAAATGGCTGGGCCTGGCGCCAACGGCTATGGGGTGGAGTGGTAGTGGACACAATGTGATAGACAAAAAGGTACGACGGCGGAAAAGAAGAGCGTGGTGGGCGCTTCACGGCGCCGCTGTGGCTGCGGCCGGCATCTGGGCCGCCGGCGGACTGGGAATAGTGGCAAGAGGTGGCCCTACGGACGGATGGATTGGGAAGATTTATGATGATATTTACAGCAAGATTCCACTTTTGTAACTTAGATCAGGAGATCAGTAGTTTACAGGATGCAAGATACCCAACCAACAGCAATATTCACAGCTAGCAACGCCAACTAACATAGACTGTAGGCCGCCGTAATATTTGTCTATTCACATTGATGCAAAGTGTAGCTAGTCATATGGCCAAGGGCATTTGACACTCCGCAGGCAAACAAGGTTGCCCAAAAACATAAGAGAAATGGATTTCATCTACCTAACTAACCAGCGCTATTGTACATATGTGTACGAAGATCATGGCCGCAACTTGTCAACAATACCAGCATCGAGAAAAAAATCCTTCCCAGACGTAGCTCCCCAACAACTCCCCTTACACTGTGCACGATTCTCATGCATACAGCACCATCTTAGGTTATAAAGCAAATCCGTAGCTTTGAAAGAGAGACCCGGTCGATACATGGCGGTTTGTATCAACGAGTCAACTCTGGAGGAGCCTAGTTCTTTCCCCCGTTGTTACCGCCGTTGTTGTTGCCGCCACCATTGTTTGTACCAGGGATGAAGCCACCGCCAGTGAGCTGTGGACAGGACTTCTGTGCAGCCTGAGCAGCCTTGATCAGGTCGTTCTGGTCTTTGCAGGCGCCGCTAACGCAGTTGACAAGTGAGTTGACATTGGCCTTTTGGCAGTAGCAATCCTTGATCTGATCTTGGGCGCAGCCACTCTTCTGGATGTCATCGTTGACACACTGCTTTGCGCAGTCGGGCACGTCAAGGCTGTCAGCAATGGCCATGCCGGCGGCGGCAGCGAGGATTGCGATGAATGATGTCTTCATTTTGAACAATGATGAATATGTTGAGAGACTATGTAGTGTAGTGAAGTCTGGGATGGTGTATATGGGAATTATCGAAGAGGCTCGTTGCGTTGTGACTGTAATGTGTGAATGGTAAAGGTCACATTCATCTCTGAGCGCGGTTGTGGTGAGCACTTATATATGTGGAACAGACAGGTATCATATCAGGAGTCTTTGGTGATTGTTCCTCTTCTCATCCTTTTGGTCTCCGCCCCTGACGTATGGTCTCGTTCCATCATCACGATCGTCGGCGATGGAACTTGGCATTGCCTTGTTCGTCACAACATGTTGATTGGACATCGGGAGAAGATGACCGCGCAATATGATCAACTAGGTTTTCGACGCTCTGCCGAGCAGGAGCACAGGAACGCAGGAGTGTAAGAGTGCGTTCCTAAAACCTAAATCACGAACTTGTTGGGACCGGGAGTACACTGCAATGGCCAGATCCCAACTTCTATACGCTTTGCTCCCTTTTCCCCGCCGACATAGCCTGCTAGTGCTGTTAATCAGCGCCCTAAGGATCTTCTGGGTTTGACAGTCAGCGCCCAATTACATCAATTGTTGTTTGGGAGAGGGTGGGTGTCGTTCTGGCGTTGATGCTGGAAAATATTCCAATGCCTAGCTTGCATGAAAGACTCTAAGTCATGGGACGAGCCGTTCGGCTGAGACACAGGCCTGCGTTTTGATCACTTCGAACCGTAAAGAGGGCTGTGACGTTACGTATGACGGCGTGGCCGGCAACTTCAAGACGCAGAGCCGCGTCAAAGCCACGCGCAAAGATGACTGAGCACCCAACGGCTGTGCTTCTATCTGAGCGTTCTTTGGTGGCTTCGCCGAATTCCTGTCAGGTAAGCGACCTTCGAGACGTTTTCCAAAGTCAGCATCACCGAAACGGATGTCACATTATGGGTTCTGTGCGATTCCCTGAGTATCATTCAGTCGTATAGGTAATCAACCCTGTGTGCTGGCCATCAGCCTCTTGCTGCCTATTTCGGGTTACTGCGTTGTCGTGGAGGTCCGGGTATTTTCAACAGAAATTTGTCTCTCGAAACGACATAGCCCTCACGTGCTGCAACCATGACCTTTCTGATGATGCTTCGTTTGGAGCCTTGGACGTTGCACAGCAAACTTGCGGAGTTTAGTGCTCGTGTCAAATATTCAGTACTGCCATATGTTGAGCTGCGTAGTTCCGTTCCTCATATATCAGATAAATGGCTAGGGTCGCTAAGTGGCCTGCCGAGCTTCGACATGTTGTACCGTCGCCAAGTCCGAGTTCATCAGTCGGGGGAAGTTAAACAGGGTTGAAGGATTGTTTTCTATTCCACCCCGTTGCTGTCCTGTTGGGCTTGTTGCTCCCTCTGAACACTGATCCTGGGCAAGGTGCCATGATTGTGGGGATCTAGAAACTGAAAGAGAGCATTCGGTCCAGCCCCTGATATTGCTCGCTTGGCTCGGACTGATAAGCTTGTCTTATCCCGGGCACAACATGGACCCGGTTCTGGAGTAGGAAACTATATCTAAGCCTTTTATCGGTGGCTCTGCATGGTTGGTGAATTCCCCGTGTAGGCAATAGCCGTCAGTTTGTTCACGGAATTAATCTTACTGGAAGCATATTTTCAACACTTACCTTACTGGGCTCGATGAAAGCCAGTAGGTGGATCTATCAGTGACATGTTGGTGGTGACATCACAGCCTACCGTCTACCTTGTCTAGATCTCTGTCATGGTCTGGACCATCGTCATCATCAAAAGTGAATCCCCTATGCGCGAGTGATGCTGTAAATAATGACTTGAAAGCCCAGGAAAGTTATGATGAGAAAGATGGACTAAATAAGAAAGATAGGCGCGGAATATGGAGTGGGAGACACTAGAACGTATCTATGTCGAAACATTGGCCGGGGAGACGTTGTTTTGAGATGGCAGCATGTGACTATAGAAATCGGCGTCACATTTACAGTTGCAATTTCTCTGTGGTTCTTCCTCCCATGCGAGAACAGGACGAGACTGCCCGGCCAGCAATGCTTAGCTCCACCCCCCTTGAGCCCGTTAAATAGCTCGATGCTATGCAGCTATTCAATGTGTGTAATGACAAGTATACCTTTGGAAAATTCGCTGTTATTGCCACTATAAGAGTATCTCGCAAACCGCAACCGCCAACACATGTGGAAGCCCCTGTACCCATCCGTCCCTTGGCGCCGATGAACCTCGCCTACCACGATCTCATTCGGTCGGTAGACATAGCGACCATAGCCAAGTCTTGTTCGGCATGTCTAGTCGATTACTCTTATCCACGCACTGAGCCTGAGCAGGGCCCCGGTCCACCATAGCTGTCCTTATCTCCCGTCTTTGTAAAGACGATGTCTGGATGGCCCTTCGGGCAGGACTCACTGTCGCTCGGGCCGTCGAAGCCGTGAATAATGGAACATGAAGGCGTCGATGAAATCTCTGGTATGTAAAGCCACCCATTGCAGCCGTCAGGAGTTCCAAGATGGCAGATTGTGCAGCAATCCTGAGCGCTTTTGGCCGGGTGCAGGTTGAACACCCAGCCGCCGCCACCCTCATCGATACCGATCCAGTTGACTTCTCGGATGAACTTGGACTTAACACACTCGGGAATCTATGATAAGTGGTCAGATACCGAAGAAAACATGGATCATCATACAAAATGGCATGGCTGGCGAGTGAGGCCTGCTGCTTACCGGCTTCAGAGTAGAGGATGGAGCTGGGGGCGAGGTCAGAGAGGTAGCCGTGGAAGAAGGTGACGATGATGTGGCGGTTGAAGTCGCAAGGTTCTCAGCGTTGCCTGGACCAGACGTGTGATTCTTGATGGACAGTGTGACCGTGAGAGGAACCACGATGGCGAGAGTAAGAAGGCCTATGCATATACCGATCATTGCCTTCCAGTTCCAAAGACGTGAGACTTTCTCAACACCGATAGTCGAGGCGGCATCATCACCCACATGGACCGAGTGAAGTATTTCGTTCTCCCTGGTGCCGTCATTACCGCCTTTGCCGATCCCGAGGTCTGTCATTGGAATGACAACGGCCTCAGGGGCTGAGTAGACCACTACTTGTGGCAGCGGATTATTGGTTTCCTCAACCCACTTGATGGTCGTCATGGTGGCTTGTCAGGGGAGGAATGCGACTGTGAAGGAGAGAGCGATGCGAAGGCAGGTGCGACTTCTGAGGAAGGCGAGTCTGGCGAGAACTGAAGATCGGCGCAGTGAATACAAGATGTAGAGGAACTAACAGTCCCTCTGGTCTGTCTGCTGTCGTCGCGAGAGACTTCTGTAGAAAAAAATGAGTGGTGTATGTTTGTTTGTCCGACGATGGAAGCACGGAAGGCGTGGTGTGGTAAATGACAAGCTTGTCCCGTGCGACTTTTACTACGAGGTGAACTTTGCGCCCGAACCGAAGAATACACAGCTAGGAATAAGTGCCAGGCCGTTCAGGAAAGTCGGTGAACAACGAACGAGATAGGTACCGGAGCATAAACGTCTACCTTTCCAAAACAACAAGAAGCACCCCCTAAAGGTCAGTGGCATCGCAGATCTAGTCTACCGGTCAACGTACGACTATCCGCCTTTTTATTACCACTATTACTATAACTACCACAGTACGCTTTCTAAAGCTTATTCCGTGTGGCATATGTATACAATAAGATATGGCAGTAATAGCAACAACAGTAGCAGCAGTAGCAGCTGTAGTAGGAGTAGGAACATGAACAATGGGATGGGTTATGGAGCTGCAAAGTATTGTGCCACTCACTTGTACACTATCTCTCTGCTGCCTCCAAGGCTAATTCCAAACTGATGCCTCGTTGTTAGTCTTTCCCAGCTCAAACATCATGGGAGGCGGGGGCTTCCGAGAGTTCTAGGATGCTGTGGCCTCACAGCACAAAGAAGAAGGAGCAAACAGGTAACCTTTTTGTTAGTCCACATACTTTCATTGGAACGCGAGACCCATATTCGGCGTCTGGTAGTTAGTTGAGGGGCAGTACTATGCGCTGATCGAGACAAGGTTGCTGACCTACCTTGTGGCAGCCTCCTTGAGAAGGCCGAATTTTCTTCCGACAATTGGCCAATGGACCGCCTCAACCATAAAAACAATGCCCAGTCCATGTCTATGTGGTAGGATATGACAGCCTGTATCGGAGACCTCTAGTTGAAAGTCAACTGGACCGAAGGCTGCGAGTAAAGATCTCGACTGAGCCAGTCCGACTCACAAGAACTGAGTTGTATAGGATCTCAAAATGAAACCGGGGAGTCATATATTGAAATCCGACATCCGATCATCTATTCTATTACGTCTAATCATGTTCTACGCCCAAACCAGGACAACTGTGTCGGAGCTCATCAAAACAAGAGTCTCCTTTACTGAGTCAAAGACTTGGCGTCACCATCCTTGAGCTTGCCAGCGCCGACCAATCTCTTGACCTCCTCGCTCCAGACACCCTTAATCTCATCAGCCACCTTAAGGCCGTTGAGCTTGCCAGCCAAAGCCGCAATCTCGTCAGGGTCGATCTGGCCCTGGACGAGCTCGACGTCACCGAGAACAGAGTCAATTGTAGCAGCGGAGGGCTCGCCAGAGGCAAAGTAGTTGGCGTCCTTGACCGAACCCTTGAGAACACGCTTGTTCTTCTTGACAGCGTTCTTTGCCGCCTCCTTGGCCTTCTTCGACTGCTCTCTGTCGACCTTAGCCTTCTCTTCTGCTTCCTTGGCAGCCTTCTCCTCGGCCTCCTTCTTGGCCTGAGCCTCCTCGAGGGCCTTCTTCTCGGCGGCCTCCTTTTCGAACTTCTTCTTGTTCTTGGCAGCGTTGGCCTCTTGTCTGAAACGCTTGATGCGCTCGTCGCTGGCCGAGCAGTCGTCAAGCAATTTGCGGAGACGAGCGTTGTCCTCAGCCTTCTTCTTCTTGCGGGCGTTAGCATTCTTGCGTTCCGTGTGGCGCTTCTGATCGCGGTTTTCGTTGTCGTCGGGGACATCCTCATCGAGATACTCGAAAGTTCTCCAACTATCAAAGTTATACCAGAAGTTGTAGAACTCCTCCACGTGCTCCTTGGAGGACTTGTCGTCACCAAAGGTCGGTACCGGCTGGGTTTTGGAGAAACGACCTTCAGCCTTGAAGACGTTGCTCCAGAGCTTGTAGAATGTGCTGCCACCCTTGGCCAGTTGCTTCTTGGTGGGGGGATCGACGTCGGCCTTCTCGTCGACTGAGTCGTACTGCTGACGCTTGGTGGGGTCCAGAAGAACCTCGGTGGCCTTCTGGATGCACTTGAAGAAGTTGTCGTCATCGACAATACCAGCAGCGGCCTTCTTGTCCGGGTGGTGCTTGAGAACCTTCTTGCGGTGGGCGCGCTTGATCTGATCCTCAGTGGCCTTCCAGCGATACTTGGTCAGACCCAGAACCTGGTAGTGGTCTTGGTTCTATGGGAGTCGGGAATCAGTCGTCGATCGCTACAGACGTAACATCTCGTATACGAGAGGCAGTCACTAACCTTCCAATCCTTGGCATCGCGCTGAAGCATCATGGGGTCCTCAGCCTCGCTAATTTCGCCATCGTCTTCATTCTCGACATTCTTAGTAGCCTCTTGAGCCTGGATACGATCATCCTCGGAGAAGGTGCGCTTGTGGCGGGCCCGGCGAGCGTGGGCAAGGAAGTGAGGGCCGACAGGCTCAAGGCTTCGCTGAGTGGCAGCAGAGACCTTGCCGACGGTCTTGAAGTCCTTCTCTGCGGACCATCCCTCGGGAACGACCGGGAGGACGTGGGGAACAACAATGGCGGAAGCCATTCTGATAGATGCGAATAAATTGGTGTATCGCAATCGATTCTTGTGCGTCTCGAAGAGCAAAGACGTCGTTGAATTCAAGAAAAAAATTACAGGAACGTGGGGTAGAGTTTTCTTTGGAGAAGGTGTGGGTGGCGCTAGGAAAAAGGGAGGGGGGGGGGGGCGTGTCCCTAAGATTCTCCGGATGCCGGGAGCATTTTTGTGTCGAATGCCTGAGCCGATGTCTATGAAGGTACGGAGTACCTGGTTCATGTTTAGAATATCACTTTTTGTTCTCTGCGAAACATATGCACCAGTCAGGCACCTTCCTCCCGAACTCATCATTGTCCTAAGCTTGTTGTTTTCCTCGACAGCTCCACTGCTTTTACTATGTCGCTGCCCGCTTACCGACACCTCTGGCGCGCGGCGCGAATCGCATTCAAGGGTTTGGATTTCTCTGGCTCGTTTGAGTATCTGTTATTGACGTTTCTTCTTTCGCAGGCGATGACCGAGTCCTCACAGCAGCGCAACAGCAGATACGGCAAGGTTTTAGAGATCAAGCAACACTCAAGCCGACAGACCCTTCCTACAGCTCCGCCATCCAGAAAGCTGAAGATATTGCTAAGATCCTAAGAGAAAATGTAGTTCAGGGAAAGCAGGATGATTCTCGTGTCTTCAGTAAGTTGCGGGCATTGATATACGGCCATAACCTGTGCTGCCTAGTATACTGACGAAGACTCTGCAGAGTTGCGCATTCATGAGGACACCGAACGTGGAGACAACGACTCGATTAAGATGGCCGGTGGCGGGTCGGCAACAATGGGCGGGTGTGGCTGCAGTTGAAGGGAAGACATCGAGGCAGGTGTGGCATATGAGAGATGCCTGTAATATTGTATAACAAAACTAATGTACAACAAAACCCTTGATACCCAGGCAGGTGGTATGAAGCCTTCCACTCCATCTCGATTTCCAGTCGTCAAACCCTGATGAAATCAATGACGCCTAAACTCCCTTGAGATGCTACCCGAGTTTCCTTGGTCCCTCACATCTCAGTCGCCCTGTAGACTAACATACTGTGCGCCATCGTCTGCGCCTGGCGGGGGTGCAACGACTGGTGCAGCTGGCGAGTGAGCGGCGTTTCCTACATCCGAGCGACCGGCAATCTGCCTCTTTACACCTCTGCCATCGGCTCCCCGCGCGTTCGCCTGCCCTCGTCGAGCGTCCATGAGCATCTGTGAACGCTGCTCCTTGTCCATCGTCCCGATTGCTTTGGGGACACCCCATCGCACACGCAACGGGCATCCTGCAATAACGGCACGACCCTGACATGATGCAGCAGCTTTCTCAGCCGCCTCTCTCGTTTCGTAGTTGACGAATGCGCAGTGTGACATATGGGAGCAAACCAGACTTTTGAGTCTGCCATGCGTTTTGAAGAAATCTCGGATCTTATGCTCAGGAAGGTCGTCCTCGATCCCGGTGATGAAGAGGGACATGATATTCTTGTCAGCCGGAGGCATCCAATCCTGTGGTCCAGGAGGCAACTGTGCAGCGCTTGGAAAAGCTTGCTTCGGCCTGCCCGGCCTCGCACCTAGAGCTATGGCAGCTCTCGAGTCTCTGGTTCGGATAGGTCCTGGCCCACCGACACCGGCGCCGACGGCTGGGTTGCCACCTAGTCCACCGCTTGAACCGGAGCCTTTCTGACCCTCGTCGTCGGGATTCTCGACGGCGCGGCCCTTTCGAAAGTACGGTTTACTTGCAGCCAATCTTCGCAGGAGTTCTCTAGCCTTTTCGTCCGTTTTTTCGTATTCTTCGACTCCCGCGCGACCTTCTTCAATGGCGAGTTCGTTATTTTGGGCAAAATATTCGCGGTTGATGTCGGACGATGGCCCCGGGGCTACCATCTTCAAGGCTGCATCGCGAACCACGATGGGCAGCCCAAAAGAAAGGTCCAGCATGCATGCCTGGCAACAGTTTTTGAGCCGCGCGCAGGTCAGGCAGATGTTTGTTCGCTTCTTTCGGCCGTGGGCTCGGTCAGCACTCCAGCTGAAGACAGTGAAAGGTCTCGTACACTACGACGGAGTGTTAGCAGAATGCTGAACGTTGAAAATAGAGTGGCGGGGAAGGTAGCAATACCAATTTGCACTCGGAGCCATAATCTTCTTTCAACATTTTGACGTAAGGATTCTCTGGTAGACAGTTTTCGCAAACAGAAGGGAAATCAGTCGATTCCCAGCCTGAGCGATTCAGGTCTTGTTTGATTTGTGGTGGCATGGCGCCTCGGGGTTCGCAGAGCTCTGCGACGAGTGCGGATCGTGACGTGAGGTGGCCGATGATACGGATCGTGAGATTTTTCAGTGTGGTGAGCGAAGAATCCTGATGTCGCTCGCGAAACTACGTAGGAATGAACGTCGAGCGCGGGCCCGACCGCGCAGGGTTCACTCATTACGGTGCCTACCTACACACTCCCCGCCACATTTCCTCACTCTAGTCTCCAGGTACCGATACGGAGTGCGTATCTAAAAGTGTGGCGTCGAGCTGCTATCAGTGCTCCACTTCCCGCCTCTTCACGTGATGTCCGCCACATTTGCAAACTCGCTGGGCCAGTCACCGAACATCTTATCTACATAGTATTCCTCGTGCACGTAAGGCTCATTCAGTACCTTAAGATACTTCAGTTATAGAGTTTTGACTGGACAACCTGGATTCAAGGCATCACGAGTACGAATAGTGCGTGCTGTGTATATTTGATTTACCAGAGACCGAGAAAGTTCCCGATCGATGATGCCCTCCTGGTCTGGTTGTGAAACCAGGGTAGACAGTCGTCTCCAAAACTCCGAAGATGCTCTTGAGCCGTAGAACGCATCAACAAGTACCTGAATCGACTGTCGACAAGACTGATTGATGGTACCTACCTGGATATCCGCGTATCGCTAGAACCAGGTAGGTGGCGGATGCTCAAGCCCAACCACACCAGGGAATAATCTGGAAGGTGCCTCAGAGGCTAAGACGTGTGTGCAAAGTGTGGCAGTCTATCAGATCGTGCTAGGTAGAAGAACCATAAGCTAAAAATCACTACCAACTGTTCGAATTCGTATTCGGATTGGATAGCCCCTGGCCGGTATGCATATGTTTCCCGCCTAGCCGTCGTCTCACCGCCTGCTCAACAAAGCAAGTACTCGAACCCTTTGCGCCCCTCGATTGGACAATTGCCAGAGATGGGACCCCTGGGGCCAGGTCTCTGTCAATTTGAACTCTGAAGATCCCTGCGACCACTAGGTAAATGGACATTGGACAACAGTCCGGCCTCGCGTTTTTCATCTCATTTTATTGCACCAGACTTTGCCTGGTGGCAGGTACTACCGTGCTACGGCCTGTCATTAGCTGTTGTAACGCCCAGGAACAGTGGACTGGGAGGACTAAGAGGGGGATGTTGGAAATTTGACACAGCCAAAACGAGACAATCTCGACCGTTGCCGCGTCCCTTCGACTCCTTTTTCCGCTTGATACTTTGTCACTACTGAAAAAGCCTACGCCCCCGCTCTCCCGAATACCAGCCCGATTGCCCGTCCTACCTTACCGATCTTGTTGTCCTGCGCTTTCAATTTATTCCTTCTCCTTCCTTCCCTCCTTCACCCTTCAGACCAAATACTTTACAGCCTTTCAGGTCTCCACCAAGTTTCTCTTCCTGCAAACAACTTTCCTACACGTTGTCTATTCACTACTCAACACAATGGTTACTTCAACAGCCTCTAACCTCGAGCGCGAGGACCATGCTCGCGATGCTCAATTCAATAAGGCACTGCACGGTACAAGTGCTCAGGCCACTGGTGGTCTTGCCGCCATGTTCAGCAAAGGCCGTGATGCGAAGCAGGCTGCCGTCGATGAGTACTTCAAGCACTGGGACAACAAGGCGGCAAAGGACGAAACTCCCGAGGAGCGCGCAGTATGCAACTCGACCTTTTCCCAGCCTTGAACCTATCTTTACTTGTCACGGATGCTGACCTTTGCTTGACATAGGCTCGTACAGCTGAATATGCGACCTTGACCAGACAGTACGCCCCCCCCCCCCCCTCCTGTACAAACACTAGCTAATTCTGGTTTTATAGCTACTACAACCTGGCGACCGACCTGTACGAGTATGGTTGGGGCCAGTCCTTCCACTTCTGCCGTTTCTCCCACGGCGAGCCCTTTTATCAGGCGATTGCCCGTCATGAGCACTACCTTGCCCACCAGATCGGAATCAAGGAGGGTATGAAGGTGCTTGACGTCGGATGTGGTGTTGGCGGACCTGCGCGCGAAATCGCAAAGTTCACTGGCTGCCACGTCACCGGTCTGAACAACAACGACTACCAAATCGATAGAGCTACTCACTACGCTGCGAAGGAGGGCCTGTCGAAGCAGCTTGAGTTCGTCAAGGGAGACTTCATGGTACGTGGTTGTTATAGTGATCAGATCCATATTCAAATGATTAACGTTGATCTTGCAGCAAATGTCTTTCCCCGATAACTCCTTCGATGCCGTCTACGCCATCGAGGCCACCGTCCACGCACCCAGTCTGGAGGGTATTTACAGCGAGATCTTCCGTGTTTTGAAGCCCGGTGGCGTCTTTGGTGTTTATGAGTGGTTGATGACGGACGAGTACGACAACGACAACCTGGCCCACCGTGAAATCCGCTTGGGCATCGAGCAGGGCGATGGTATTTCCAACATGTGTAAGGTCTCTGAGGGTCTGGCCGCCATGAAGACTGCCGGATTCGAGATGCTCCACCACGAGGATCTTGCTGACAGGCCCGACCCCATGCCATGGTACTGGCCCCTGTCGGGAGAGCTCAAGTACATCCAGTCCGTCTTTGACATTTTCACTATTGTTCGTATGACCAAGGTGGGACGATTCCTCATGCACAATGTAGTTGGTGGACTCGAGGCTCTCAAGATTGCCCCTGCCGGTACGAAGAAGACGGCCGACAGTCTGGCATGGGCTGGCGACTGCCTTGTTGCTGGTGGCAAAGAGCACTTGTTCACACCTATGTACTTGATGGTCGGAAAGAAGCCCGCCAACTAGGCGTCACTTTTGTACGCCTTGGATGCAGAGATGACGGCATAGACGGACACCAACGGAAAAAGATTAGAGGCTATGAATTTTTCTACTCGCTGTACGAGTGTTACACCAGTACTATAATTGTAATTAGGCAGCTGCAGCCAGACGGTTTTAACGACAATTCACGGTTGGCCATGATAGATAGGAAGTTAGGAAATGTGGGTGAGAGTTTTTCCAGAGGAAAATACGCTGGCCGATAAACTGGCAAAAGTGACTGGCTACTACACAATGTCACATAGACGTGAGTCCAAGACGAGAGTTCCACATGCACATGCTTATGGCAGACTATTGTTTGTCCATGTAGCCCCCATCGCTTCTCAGCTCACCATCTATGGAAGCGGGTCAAATATTGCATCAGGTTGCGTGCCGTAGGTAGCTATTGTGTACCGGCTGAGATTATGGATAAGGAGACTTGGGCTATCCTGCAAGGCAGTAGGTACATACGATAAATAGCAAGTTTAACGAATGATCCAGAGCCCATTACGGCAGGCCACATAAGAAAGACACTGCTCGAACCTTTTTATTCCTAACAGCCATGAACGAGGGTTGCGGATGATGGTGTCAGCTGTGCACATGATCACCATCACAGTTCTGGGTATTGCTCAAAGACTTTCTGTGGAACATGCATACCTATTGCCCAGACCACCTCATCGAGTCCCTTTTCGTTGATTCTCGCTCGGACCTAAGTGGCTCGCCGTTCGGATGGAAGCGGGTGGCACCGGGCGCATGGTACGCAGAAAGCGTTTGCTGAGTAGGAAGCTTATGGAGATCCGTGTCCGGCCGTCCCTCGAGGGGGAGCTTAAGCCCGACGCCGACAAAGGAGTACTTAGAAAGGCCGATGCAAACACTCCCGTTAGCTGGGCTAGCCAGGAGTAATGCCAAGAGTATCCGTATTAAAGCAAAAAATTTATGGAAGTGAGTCCTTAGGAAGCCAGCGGAGCTTATCGGGATTAAATCGGACCTGGGTTTGGGCGCAATTTGGATGGGGACTAATCGTTGAAATACAGCGTGATTGGCTCAGAAAAGTTACCCCCGATTATCTAATGCTCAAGAACACCGCTAATACTGAATAGGGCTAGCTCCCCGCCCGGGACCTCCCCAACGCTGTTGTCTGGCAGCTCGCCGCAATTCAACGGACTCAACGCCCATAGAGCTGAGCAAAAAAAAAAAAGGCTGCGAAATCCCTCGAGAGCTCCCCGTCGACTTTCTCATCCCTCTCACTTCGACGTCCAATTCTCGTCGTTGGCCATCGTCAACCCCACCACCCCGAGGTCACGTCTTGTCCATCCACGACATTTTTCTCCTCGTCTCCTCATTATCCAGATTCTCTTGGGATAACTAGCTTCTTTCGCGTTGCGACCTGTGCGTCTTTTCTACCATCCAATCCTCCCAAGACCAATATTCGCGATGTCCCGATTCCTCCGTCCCGCAGCACGCCTGGCGTCCTCTGCCAGAGCTGCCTCCCTCCGCACCTCCCCCATCTCTCAATTCGTTAGCCGGCCTGCTGCTTTCACCATCCAGTCACGGACATATGCCGACGCAAAGGGAACCAAGGACTACACTGTCCGAGAGGCCCTCAACGAGGCCCTCGCCGAGGAGCTTGAGGCCAATGACAAGGTCTTCGTTCTGGGTGAGGAGGTCGCTCAGTACAACGGCGCATATAAGGTCACAAAGGGTCTTCTGGACCGGTTCGGCGATAAGCGTGTCATCGATACACCCATCACCGAGAGCGGTTTCTGTGGTCTCGCCGTTGGCGCTGCCCTCAGCGGACTGCACCCTGTGGTAAGTTGCTTCCCCGGCAAGTCGATAAGGTCCATGGACTTTGAATTTGGCTATTCAAATATCCGAGCAACAACTCTCTAGCTCGAACTTATGGAATCAAGGTTTCGGTGGCCTGTGACTGACTCTTGTGTTTCCTCCAGTGCGAGTTCATGACCTTCAACTTCGCCATGCAAGCCATCGATCAGATCGTCAACTCCGCCGCTAAGACCCTCTACATGTCCGGTGGCATCCAGCCCTGTAACATCACTTTCCGCGGCCCCAATGGCTTCGCCTCTGGTGTTGCTGCGCAGCACTCTCAGGACTACTCAGCCTGGTACGGCAGCATTCCTGGTCTGAAGGTCGTCTCCCCTTGGAGTGCCGAGGACGCCAAGGGTCTGCTCAAGGCGGCCATCCGCGATCCCAACCCCGTCGTCGTTCTCGAGAACGAGCTCATGTACGGCCAGACTTTCCCCATGTCGGAGGCTGCCCAGAAGGATGACTTCGTTATTCCCTTCGGCAAGGCCAAGATCGAGCGCTCCGGCAAGGACTTGACCATTGTCACGCTCTCCCGATGCGTCGGCCAGGCTCTGGTTGCTGCTGAGAACTTGAAGAAGAACTACGGCGTCGATGTCGAGGTTATCAACCTGCGCTCCGTCAAGCCCTTGGACGTCGAGACCATTGTTCAGTCTGTCAAGAAGACCCACCGCCTGCTTTCCGTTGAGTCTGGATTCCCTGCCTACGGTGTCGGCTCAGAAATCCTGGCTGTGACGATGGAGTACGCCTTTGACTACCTTGATGCGCCCGCCCAGAGGGTCACTGGTGCCGACGTCCCTACCCCTTACGCGGCCGGCCTGGAAGAGATGGCTTTCCCTACTGAGCAGATCATTGAGAACTACGTCGCCAAGATGCTGCGTCTGTAAGAGAGTTGCGTGTTGTGGACGAGAGAGTACAGGCCTGGGCAAGCTGCCTCTTTGTGGCTTCCGAGGTGGAAGCTGATCTATAATGGCCCTTGGAGCTCGATAGACTTGGGGAAGAAGCTTGTACTTGTATGTTGCTTAGTTGTCATATATACGTCTCATACCCTGGGATTACAACTGTATGCGATGATCCATGCGCTATGGCATAAAGTAGTGAGTCCTTCGCCATTACGGAGTTCAACGTTGTCATGGCTGGGGCAGCCGATGTATGTCAGAGTGACGAAACAAAACATCCCTGGGCAAAATAGGTTCAGAGCCCAGGGACTGGGGAAATGAGGATACCATCTATGTGCGCCATCTATGGCCTGAAGCTATTCAGTGATGAAATAATTTGTCACAAAAACCCCAGGAGCCCGATGATAACTAATATGGAAATCGTAACCGCTTTATGGCAGAGACTCCTCCATGTGCGATCTTGACTGAAAGTCATCCATCAAAGCTGCCCATCTCGAGCGAAGGTTACCCAAAAGCCTTCCCTTAGAATCATGGCTATTTTGTGATGTCCCCAACTAAGGTATGTAACCATGCGGCCTTTCACCTCAGGTGCTCAAATATTTTGCCTTACCTAAGGGAAGGAGAGGTAGGAGGGGCACACAAATGGAGGTACCTGAGGTGTCAGGTTACAGTGCGGCCACCCCGCACAGCGTCATCAGTGACCACTGCAGTCTCGCCTATGGTTAAGGTACCGTACCGCCTAACTTCATCCCACATCAAGTCCCTTCTTCCTCCCATACCTACCCCAAGGTATACAAGCATTTGGCCTTTGTCAATGACAAGGTAGGTTAAGAGCCAATCTCATCGTCTCATCTCATCTGGCGTTCGTCTCGGCTCATTCTTTCGACAACGTTACGCAGCCCCCGCCGCTGATCGTCGTCAAGATGGCTTCCGACCTGGCTACGGCCATTCAAGGTCTCCATCTCGAGGACCTTCCCGACTCCAACATTGATGACATCTTATTTCAGCAACGGCCCAGCAAGCGCATCAAGCAAGAAACTTCAGAGCTGAAGACGAGTCTGGAGACTGACTTTCTCATGCCATACATGAAATTCTCACCTGAATGGCTCAATGGCCTGCAGCAGTATGCCCTTCAGACGCCAACAAATTCTGCCTTCCATATCCATTAGCTGATTTCTCCTAGGCGCTGGGATTGCCCCGTGGATTATACGGAACTTTTCAAGATTGGCAATCCTCAAACCAGGACTGTGACTCGCTTTGAACGGCACGGTCTTGAGGGCAGAGTGAGTGGCTACCGAAACGTTACCGTGCCTGCCAACAGCGCTACCGCCAAGAATTCGACCTCATTTCTTCGCAAGCCCGCCAATAGGGCTGATTTCGTCCGTGGAGCTGCCGGATTTTTCCCCTTCGCACCTGGTGGTCTTGATGGAATCGAGGCAACCGCCGCACTCGAGGACCAGGTTCACCGGTCTGGAGGCGGAGAGGCTACAGCTGCATCAAATAACAAGCTGGAGCGGGTTATTAAGCTTGGTACCGAGGGCGGGCTACTTGAGATTGCGCCTGGACTGAGTAGAGGATTCAATTTCGATCAAAAGAAGCCAGATGAGGACGAAGCCAGGGCGATTGAGCAAGAGCTGGGCCAAGAACCAGAACAACCCCCAGGGACCGACGAAGCAGACGGCGAAGCGCAGACAAATGGCGATAAGCTGAATGAGATTGAGTCCGAGGACGAAGAAGATAGCGAGGATATCGACGCTATTCTGCCTGTCGAGTTCCCCGCTCTCGAACCTCATGGTGCCTTAGCCGCATCGAGTGCAAGGAAGGCCGGCCGAGAGTGGGCTCACATGGTTGATATTAACAGGGACATCACCAACTTCAGAGAATTGGTGCCCGATATGGCAAGAGATTGGCCCTTTGAGCTCGATACTTTCCAGAAGGAAGCCATTTATCATCTCGAGAGCGGTGATTCTGTCTTCGTCGCCGCACACACATCAGCCGGTAAAACCGTTGTTGCCGAATACGCCATTGCCCTCGCAACGAAGCACATGACCAAGGCTATATATACGTCCCCAATCAAGGCCCTGAGCAACCAGAAGTTCCGAGATTTCCGTCAAACATTCGACGAGGTCGGCATCCTGACGGGTGACGTTCAAATCAACCCGGAGGCCAGTTGCCTGATTATGACAACGGAGATTCTAAGAAGCATGCTCTACCGTGGAGCCGATCTCATCCGAGACGTCGAGTTCGTCATTTTTGACGAGGTACACTACGTCAACGATTTTGAGCGCGGCGTCGTTTGGGAAGAAGTCATCATCATGCTTCCCGAACATGTAACACTCATCCTTCTCTCGGCAACGGTTCCCAATACTTATGAGTTTGCCTCCTGGGTTGGACGCACTAAGCAAAAGGATATCTACGTCATCTCAACACCAAAGCGACCTATCCCATTGGAACACTACTTATGGGCTGGCAAGAACATCCACAAAATCGTTGACTCCGACAAGAAATTCATCGAGAAGGGTTGGAAGGAGGCCAATTCGGCGATTCAGGGCAAAGAGAGGACCAAGGCCCCCGAGCCCGTTAACGCGCCCCGCGGCGGTGGTGGTCAGAGAGGTGGCCAGAGAGGAGGATCCCAGCGCGGCGGGCAGCGAGGGGGTCAGCGTGGCGGTGGTCCTCAGCAAAGAGGCCGTGGTGGAGCGCCGCGCGCTAATCACAACCCGGGTCACATGGGACGAACAGGTCGTCAGGGTGGGTTTACCTCTGCAGCCCAAGACAAGAACCTCTGGGTTCATCTGGTTCAGTTCCTCAAGAAGTCGAACCTTCTGCCTTCTTGCATATTTGTCTTCTCAAAGAAGCGGTGCGAGGAAAATGCCGATGCACTCAGTAACCAGGACTTCTGCACAGCGACTGAGAAGAGTGCCATTCACATGACTATCGAGAAGTCCGTTGCCAGACTTAAGCCCGAGGATCGGGCTCTGCCACAGATTATCAGACTCCGTGAGCTTCTGTCCCGAGGTATTGCGGTTCATCATGGAGGGCTGTTGCCAATCGTCAAAGAGATTGTCGAGATACTCTTTGCCCAAACACTTGTCAAGGTACTTTTCGCCACGGAGACTTTCGCCATGGGACTCAATCTACCGACTAGAACAGTCGTTTTCTCCGGATACCGTAAACACGACGGCCATTCCTTCAGAAATCTGCTTCCTGGCGAATATACACAGATGGCTGGCCGAGCAGGTCGCCGTGGCTTGGACACAGTCGGCTCGGTTATCGTCGTTCCGCCGGGCGGGGACGAAGCTCCTCCCGTTGCCGACCTTCAGAAAATGATTCTAGGAGAGCCGTCGAAGCTCAGATCCCAGTTTCGTCTCACTTACAACATGATTCTTAACCTACTCCGAGTCGAGGCTCTCAAGATTGAAGAGATGATCAAGCGTAGCTTCTCGGAACATGCTACCCAGCAGCTGCTACCTGAGCATGAGAAAGCAGTTAAGATTTCGGAGGCCGACTTAGCCAAGATCAAACGAGACTCATGTAGCGTATGCGACGTGTCTATGGACGAGTGCCACCAAGCGTCAGAGGACTACAAGCAACTCACCGGGGAAGTTTACAAGTCTCTCATGGGTATTCCCATCGGTCGCAAGATGTTCAGCCAGGCCCGCTTGATCGTTTACAACAGGGACGGTATTCGCACACCCGGCATCTTGCTGTCGGACGGCGCAAGTGACAAGGGGCAAGGTGGACCTACTTTACATGTTTGCGAGATCAGGCTCATGAGGGAGACCCGTGATTCGACAGACCTTCTGCCGTTCATCCCGGCCTTCCGCAAGTACTTGACACCGCTACCGCAGGCGAAGAAGCACATGCGGATTAAGACCCTGCAGGTCCCTCTGAGTGATGTTGAATGTTTGACGAGGTACGTCACCAAGGGCATTGTGCCAGAAATTTTCCAGGGCGGGGAGAAGTACGCAAAGGCAAAGGACAGACTCCATGCGCTGTGCCGGTCGTGGGATGATCTTTGGGACGAGATGGACCTCTCCAAGATAAAGAACCTCTCATTTCAAGAGGTGATGAAGAAGAGAAAGGATGCAGAAGGCGTTGCCTCATCCTCGCCTGCTCTTTCTTGTCCTCAATTCTTGAAGCATGTAAGTTGAGTTATGGCCGACTTGAGAGGAAATTCAATCGCTGACATTGATTATAGTTTGCCATGTGCCATGATCAGTGGCTTATCAAGGAACACATCTCTCAGCTCCGGCAATCCCTCTCAGACCAGAACCTACAACTTCTGCCAGACTACGAACAGCGCATCCAAGTGCTTAAACAGCTCCAATTCATTGACGAAAGCGCCAGGATACTGCTGAAGGGAAAGGTTGCCTGCGAAATTCACTCGGGCGATGAACTCGTTTTGACAGAGTTGATCTTGGACAATGTGCTCGCCGACTATGAACCAGCCGAAATCGCTGCCTTGCTTTCGGCGTTTGTTTTCCAGGAAAAGACGGACACACAACCAAATCTTACGGGCAACCTCGAGCGTGGCAAAGATACCATCATTGCTATCAGCGAGAAGGTCAACGAAGTCCAGACGCTGCACCAAGTTATACAGTCTGCAGATGATTCGAATGACTTTATTTCTCGGCCTCGCTTCGGTCTGATGGAAGTTGTTTACGAATGGGCGCGAGGTATGAGCTTCAAGAACATTACTGATCTGACCGATGTCCTGGAAGGAACTATTGTGCGGACTATCACGCGTCTGGACGAGACATGTCGTGAGGTCAAGAACGCCGCTCGCATCATTGGAGACCCGGAATTATACCAGAAGATGCAGACAGCTCAAGAGATGATCAAGCGCGATATCACGGCAGTTGCCAGTCTGTATATGTAGACCTTGTTTTGCATGTGAGCAGCAAGCACACGCTTGGTTTTTCGCTCGATATTGATGGGAGCTGGTCCAGTTTAGTTTAGTTTAGTTTAGGAATTAAACAAAGTGGTCATCTTTTCAGCCGCCTCACTTTCGCTTCGAAATTTGACTTTGCGCCAGAGGTTCGTTCAAGACCTGTTACTCTTCCCAATACGAAATGTGTTGTGCGCGTGCCCACGCCCGGTATAACGCCTAGTTCCCTATGTGCCAAACGAGTGAAGCCATCCCACCATGCTCAAATCAACGCTATTCCACCCTAAACTCAAGCCCTCAGCGCACGTAGTCGCTGCTGCAACGCATCTTCCTCCTCTGCAGTAGGCTCGGCAGACACAAGCTCTTCCTTAGCCGGTGCCGCACTGTTGAGTTCAGCATTGAGCTGCACTCCAGCGTCATCGGCCAGCTTGCCCAGCAGCTCGTGTACAGCATCATCAGACACTTGTGCACTGGTAGTCTGCGAGATGGCGTCCTGATAGATGCCGTTTGAAACTGCATACTCTTCGTTCTGTTGCTTGAATTGCTCGAGTGTGACGAGGGTCTGGTAGCAGGCAGTTAGGAAGACAAGTCACGACAACAAATTTCATAGCTCACGGCTCGGTGACATACCTTCTCGGGGTTCATGTTCTTCTGTGCCACAGACATAGTACGAGATGATTGACCCATCATGTGCGTCATGCGATTCATGGAATTATTGGCTTGAATTTGCGCGGCAGAGAGCTCAGCCATGTCAGCCATCTGGTCCATCTGTTGAGCCAAGGCCTGCTTGGACAGAAGCATTTTGGCCTTTTGGTAGGCTTTTGCCGTCTCCCCCTTCTTGAGCAGCTGTGCGATTCAGTGTCAGCAGGTTCGGATGCTTTCATCATTCGACAACGTACATCTTGAATCTGCTTCTTCAATATAGGGTCTTGTTTAGCGGCCTTTTGCGCTTCTCTCCGGGCTTGCTTCGCTTGGAACTGAGTGCCGGTTAGTTTACAGGTGTCGCGAGGATCCGCGAGTATCCCAAGCTTGCGCAGGTGGAATAAGTCTGGAACTTGGGCGGACATCTCGACATACTCGTGCCTGGAATTCGACCTGCATGTCGCGAGCAAGTGCGCGGTTCGACATCGTGACTATTTGCCTATCGGGTCTGAAGTCGGAGACAAACGTAGCGGCGGGGTCTCTAGTGAGGGGTTATCTTGAGTCGGCGGGCGGTCGGAAGCGTATGACAAGCGGTATTTCGATGGTTTCGGGGGGTTCTTTGTTTGGATGCGTATGTCTGAAGGTGCGTAGCGAGGCTTGGGTGATGTTGTGCAAAAGTGACAGCAAGTGTTTGTAGTGTAAAGGATAGCCAGACATCAAGCAGTAGAGCCGGACCCCCAGGCGTCACCTGTATACGCTGCCTTTGACCAACCCATATTCGGACCCCGACAATCAGCCCAGGTGTGACCGGCTGGCTCACGCTCGCTGATGACGCAATGGGGACCGGTAGTGCACCGCCCTACCAGCCACATTCTCCCCGCCACATGCGCCATGTGGCCTACCTTATCCCAACTGCGAAAAGCCAGGTCGTAAGTCGTCGTCAATACCGGTACCAGACATCAGTACAGACATAATTTACCTGATGTTAACCTCGTGGCCGGCCCTTTGATGTCCCGAAGTCCAAGATGTCACGACTCACTGGAAGGTCAAATGCCCCGCCTCTCGGATTGTAGGAATCCTGTGTTATCAGGGTATTATTACCCCTCAAACGAACTCCCAGGGTGCAATAGGATTTGATTACACAATTTCATCATTCGGCTCCTCCTCATCAAAAATTCGTATCGCGAAACAGAATGGCTACGCGAGCGAGAATGAATGTGCAAACATTCCCGCGGCCACCTCTGTTAGAGAAGATATCTCGTCACTTACGAATTGTGTGGAACGGCTTAGTGATTGCGGAAACTCGAGATGCCTATTGGGTTCTGGAGACACATCACCCCCCAAGTTCGTCACAAACCCGACCTGTATAAGTGTCAGAATGTGTAGCAGTGATCCAATTGACACAAATAACAGCGTACTATTTACCACCAGCGGCTTTGAAGGTACCGCTTACCCCGACCCGTCGAAGCACGTACTGCGAGTGGAAAGGTGGAGCTACGTATTATACAATCACGGCTCCTAAACCGTCGTCTGGGACATTGCCTGAGGTGATCTCTAATCGAATCTGGTCTTACGAATCACCAACACCCGGGTTCGAGGCGATTAAGGGCTACTTATCATTTTATGCTGACCCGTGGAGTTGCTTCGTCGACGACGAGGCAGTTCAGCCACAGCCGGGCGACTTTTACGGAGGATGGGTGACTTCAGAGATCGATGGGATCGTAAAGGGAGCTCATGGCAACTGGGACCCTGTGGTGTAATATTCAAACAACAGTTTTGACGGAGGCGAGTCGGTTGTGGTGGACGGAGACATCGGCATCGGGTGCACTCATTGCCCGGAGTCTTCATGTAGGCTGAGGGTGCAATGACAAGGTTACCTGCCGGTCGTAACCTTGGTAGCCGACTATTCATGTCCATAAGTCCCAGCTTGCTCGTCGTGTTGTTCCAGCACACGGCCAGTAACTCCGGAAGATGCCTCTTTCGTATCGCTTGATTTCTTCCAGGTATTCAACTCGTTGCAGATGTGAAGGTTCAAGCAGATTGCTCAGTCCTTGTCACGAACTCGTAGGCCCAGATCAAGCATTCACTCCGACATAGGCAGTCAAAGCTCAAGCTGGATTCCCAGCACTGATCAAGTTTAGTGGCAAGTCTGTGGAACCTAAGAGCTCCGTGTACATCCAGTCTGGTTTAATATGGTCGTGTGACACTGAGCTATAACGAAACAAACATCCGTAGAGTTACAGCTCCGTTCCTGTATATTCTTTCTTTGTTCGACTTTGGCTATGGGTCAGATAGGTCGAGATTGTGAACGCTGCTCTCAGAGGAGTTGAAGCGGCATCGCCCCCCCCCCCCCCCTCCCCTGCGAGAGCTCCTGTATCAATCAGGGAACATTTGAGCCACAACGTTTTGATAGATGAATATGCAATCTGAGGCCATCGATAGCGACAACAAGATTGTAATGAAGCAAGACCACAAAGACTCCGTAAATTGCGGGCGGGCCGATACATTCGTGCAGCGAGTCAACGACAATGGGCAGGCGGCGACTTTTGAGGCTTGTCCACTGTCATCAGAATAACCTTGAGCCAAGCTCGTGCACTTAGGCACATACGGAGTAGTTGCTGGATCACCCGGGAAGGCTTGGGAGGACGTGATAGGGTTTAATGTCTTCGACTGTCGAAGGTTGAATACTGAGTAGGGGTCTCACACTATGTTGCAAGATTCAAACTACACACACCATTCATCTGCTGTCAGGTCCAAAGCAACGGTCCCCCCAGACTTGTACTCATCCAGCAAAGCATCTGAAGACTGCTGACAGGTGAGGTCTACCAGCAGAGACCGGCCCGAGGACAACTTGTCGTGACACAAAGTAGACAATGCGTGGAGAGCGAGGATGCACGACGTGCCAGGTAGTGCGACGAGTAAGTGCCTCTGAGTTGCGAACTGCCTAGAGTCTAATCCGCTAACTCATTAATTTGGATCGGACCATCCGGGTAGGTTGGAGCTTCGAGGCCGTTTACACTTTCGGGGCAATACATACTTGTAGAGGTACTCGTAACCGAGTCGCGTTCTGGAACCCTGAGTCTCATTAGATGGCCAGTGCTACGGATCTGCGGCATTCTCTACCCCTGGATCGCCTCGGGAAGCCAGGGATTGTGGTAAAGTGTGGCTCGGTGGCACCATAGTATGTACTCCGTAAGGGCGGTTGGCGCATCTTGGTACGTGAGCTGGCGAGCCAATAGCACCACAGGAAGTGAGTTGAGAGGACCCCTCTCCAGGAAACGACGGCAGGCATATAGGCTCCACTGACAAGAGACAAGACGCGCGACATTAGATGCCTTTAGACTCCCTTGCTGAGAAAGCTCTCCCTGTGAAGCGGCGGATGAAGAAAAGCATAACAGGACACGAATCTTGGCTGTAGTACGGGTAATAGATGGCGATGAAATTCGCAAGCCGCAACCCACATTGCTGGACCCAACCAACCGGAACGTTTCATGGGTGGCCAGAGAGCCTTCAGCCCAGTTCCCCGTGCCAGGTGTACATGACGGAACTCTTTTGTGACTCAAGATCAGCCGTCCGTATGTGCTCCGTACCCAACGTAATCAATTCAATCCCATCTGAGTCGGGGCGTCGTTGTGGCACCGAGTTCCAACTCAGGAGGAGAGCCAGGATGCCGCCATTTTGAGGCTTGCTTGCCTAGTTAGTTCCCAGTCATCATCCGAAAGGTACCTACTCCTACGAGAATCATCTCTCGAATCGGATCTAATAATAAACGCGTCGACCTGGTGGGCATTGGTCAGAGATTTGGAAGTTGGAGTTGAGGTTCAGCCCCCAAGGCCCGTGGCCCCCCATTGCCCCCCTCCTACCGTAATACTAATGGAGTCCAACGAGTAACTTCCCTAGGACCCGAGTGGCTGAGGTTAGGACCTCCAGGTACCACCCACCACGTCCACGGACTGAGCCCACAAGTGAGGAGGGAGACTGGCGTGTTGGATAGCTGCTTCTGCCGGGGAGCAACGGGTGGCTAACTTTAGCAGCAGCGGCGGCGGCGCAATGGCTGAACGCGTATGTGCTCCATGTGCGGGCGTCGTGTGCTTGAGGTAAGGTGTTGTAGGTAAGTGTGTACTCAAGTGCGTATTAAACTCACGCACAGCAACCTTTCAGGCTGCCTTTCCCATGCCAAGCTAAGCTTACAGGTTGTCGCATGTCAGCTGTCAGCCAATGTTGACACTTGGTTTGACTTAGGAATGCAGTGGGTGAATTCGACTAGGTATGTGGAATAGCTGAAGAAGGCACGAGGGGGCAACTAAGGTAGAGGTTTGAAAGGTAAGGTACCGCAAGTCATATCACTGTCTGCTTACCTGACCTCCCTGTCGCAGAAGTACTTTGTGAGTCCTGGACTGTGAGAGGTGGACCGTAAATTGCGGACTGCGGACTGCCGAGGGTGAAGCAGAAATGAGGCGGTACTACAAAACATCCAGAATGGTAAATCTCAATCCAGATGAGGTGCTGAAGGGCAGCGGCCGTTGAGCTCATTCCGGGACGGGTTCAGGGGTGGGAGCCCCATTCATTTGCCTCGGGCGAGATTGCGAGCACTATGGAAGAAAGGCTAAGGAGAAGGGAGCGTAGGGAGGAGTCAGGACTCATGAGTGAGGAGTCGGGCATCAGGATACGACACGCGACACTGATATTGAGGCTTTAAATGGATGGACGGAAGGAAGGTGACGGGAATATACCTAATCAATTACAGTTGAGTCGGACCCGAATGCCGTCCTGTCCTCTGAATCTGAGGTATGGTAATTTGCGGCAGAAACAGTCGTGCAGTCTGTCAAGTTTCTGATAGTTGTATTCACAGTTCACTTCATACATGTGGCAAATGTGGATGGGGATGATGGGAAAAGGAAATCCCCTGAACACGACACGGGCATATGGGCACACGGGCGCCGCCTAGGTATACTGGGACGTCGCGCCAGGCGTGTTTCCGTTCCGTGGCTCCCGTGTTTCCTCTCCAGTCCATGAGCGGGACGGACCACCAACCAGTCCAGCCGATGCAAGGTAATCCTCTTTTCCCAAGTGACACTGACCTGCGGCCTCGAGACACGCTTATCTATCTGACGAGAGCAATGAGGCTGGGGCGAGCCAACAGTGGAGTGGGAAACATTCAAAGGCAGAGGAGAGCGCCTCTCACATTCAATAGGGCCAATTGGTGGTTAAAAACGCTACCATCGATGGGCAATGAAGCAGGCACGGTAAGTAGGGATAGAAGTTGGTGCGAGACATGATTGCTTCTCTTCCTCGATAACAAGGTACCAAAAGTAAGTACGGTAGGTAATTACTTGCTCTTGGAAAGATAGGGGTAATACCCGCCAGGAGGCTTTTGTCAGGAGCATGCAATGGAACGTCCCTTCTCTGACTTCCGTTTGGGGATCGCACGAGTCTCCCTCAAGTTCTTCAAGGTGGTGCGCACTATCTTAGCACCTGTTGGTACCTACTACCGGCGGTCGCTCTCGCTGTCGCTGGCTGCCATGGCTAGAACCCACGAACTTTGAGGAATTATGGACCGCCAGGTTTCCACTGTGCCAGCCCAATAGGTATCTGTGGAAGCTGTGTCCCGCAATCCGCCCACCACCCCGCCGTCTATCATGGCGGCATGACCCACTAATTACTTTTGGAACTTCCAGTGGGAGGCTCTCCCGAGCCAGTGAAACAGCTGGGCGAGGGCACGCTCCCTCTGCTTCCGTACCTACTCCGTACTGTTTTGGGTCGAGTCCACCAATTATATTTCCGTATCACTCTCAAAGCATCGTTCTGGAGACTTCTCTTCTTGCCGGCTTGCGGGCTGCGGCTTGCGAATTGCGGGCTGCGGATCGCAGCCTGCCCTGAACTGCCTCTTCGGTACCTACGAGCAAAACAATCCACCACTGATCAGAGTGTGGCAATGAGGGAGGAGGGCCTGCCTCCACCCACACAGTTACACTTATGTTGCCTCTGACACAGGCGAATCCGAAGGTACCTACCATACCTTAGCTAAGCGTGCCAATCTGGTCCCTACCTATCTGCGTGCGTGCTTGAACGGTCGGCTACCAGCTCAGAATGGGGAGGTAATACGGAGTACGGAGTACCGACTACCTACCTACCAAAGAAAGTAGGTGACTTACTCAACCCTTGCTGCCTTCAGGGCCTCCACATCTCCCCCATCCACTAACCCCTGCCTCAACCTTGCCCTTGGAAGTTGAGGGTCTCTACCATTTCAGCCGGGGGCACGGGGGGTTATTCAAAGTGAACACCTGAGGCAGCAATACTCCGGCCGTCCCTTGGTTCCTGGCCACCCCCTTGGGAAGCTGGAAGGGAAAGGTCCAACGTGGTTCCCAAATTACAAAAGAGGCCACATCGCCTACTCCAACTACCCATCTTGTGAACACCTTGCACCTCTGCACAAAACAGCAAAGGACACGCTGTCCTCTCTGCCTCATCCAAGCACTTTCCGGCTACCACGCTTCTCTCTAAGCTGGTGCCTCTTGCTTCGGTGACTCACCTGATCCATATCTGACTCATTCATCGAGTCGTCATTGCCCCCAACATGCATTCTACTTAGCATCGCGGCTTTGGCTAGGTATATCATCAGAGGACATAAGTCGGCACCTCATTACTGCCTCCACTGGCTTCACGCATCAGCCTTACCACTCTATCTCACCCCCAGATCTTCGCCAATTCACTCCACACCAAGCAGTTTCACTGCACGCTCCAGCTTCCAACCCCCTCTCCTTCTACTACGCTAGAGCGGGTCTGCTGTCGAGAGTTCAGCTCCCGACGCGACCAATATTTGACATACAATGGCATCCTGGGAGCAGCCATCACCAATGATCAAGTTCGAGGACTCGCCTGCCGAGTCTTTCGTTTCCACACCTGGCGAAATATACCCATCGCTATTTGGCGACGCAAGCGTCGTCAATGATGATACTCTCGATCCCTCCGATATGATGACACCGCCGCCCTTCAACGACGACGGTGGTCTTCCCGCATCTACGGCTTCGACCCCGGCTCCGGACGGCGCAGGATCATCATCTCCGGATAAGAAGCAAACGAAGAAGCGGAAGTCATGGGGTCAGGTTCTTCCTGAGCCCAAGACAAACCTTCCTCCTCGGTAAGTTGCCATAACTGATGTGTCTCAGCATTGCCCTCCTGTGCACCTGATCTAATACATCTGGTAGGAAACGCGCCAAGACAGAAGACGAAAAGGAACAACGCCGTGTTGAGCGGGTTCTTCGCAACCGTCGAGCCGCCCAATCATCCCGTGAGCGAAAGCGACTGGAGGTTGAGGCTTTGGAACGACGCAACAAAGAACTCGAGTCGGCTCTCCAGAACGTCACCAAAGCAAACCAGTTGCTGGTGGATGAACTGAACAAGTTCCGTCGTGACTCTGGCATGTTGACCCGTTCAACGTCTCCCAACGACCCCCTACACAAGAACTCTGTAACGTTGTCTCAAGAGCTCTTCAGCTCCCACGACGGCCACCGAGCTTCACTAGACGAGACTAAGTCCCTCGTCGACGACCTCATGACCACATCTCAACCCAACGCCACTGTCAATCCCGCATCGCTCTCTCCAGAACTCTTACCAATCGCTGAGGGTACTGAGGAGGGCGGTGAGGAGCAGCCAACGGCCGAGACCTCTGTTGCGAAGTCTACCTCCGACCTGACACAACGTCCTGCAGCGATGTTGTGCGACCTGCAGTGTCATCTGTCGGAGGAGCTTCCGCAATCATGGCTGGCCTCTCAAACCCCTCTGCATCCGACCTTGGTCTTCTTTCTGCAGCTTCAGACGCTACTAGTCACCTCATCAGTGATTCTTTCAGTTTGTCAGCGGCCCTTGACGCAGATCGCTATGTCCTTGAAAGCGGGCTTCTCTCTTCCCCCAACTCCCTCGATTATGAACACGATTATCTGGTTGGTGACTCTACCTTCCTCCAAGACCCGTTCGACATCAACGAGTTCCTCCACGACGACGTCAACGGCGCAGCCGTCGCAGCGGACCCGGAATTCGGCCGCGATCTCACCCACTCTGAGACTCAAGTCTCTTCAGAGAATCCTAACCTGCAGCCCCACTCTGGCGCGTCCGCTCATGGATGCGACGATGGAGGCATTGCGGTTGGTGTCTGAAGGATGCGATGACCGGATCGGGGGGTCGTCGGCTGAATATTCGGCGCAGCGCGATAGCAGTCAGACACCACCAACGTGGATTGTCGGCGCACCGTTGCCGTCCAGAGAGGTTCTCTTGACGCTGTTATGGGCTCTCAGAGTTGAAGAGCGGAAAATCAACCGCAAGAATACACTTCAACTAAGAGCCCATGCGCCCGATCTGGCGAATGATATCTCAACACCAACTAATAATCACATGTTTGTTTCGGCTTCCAAGAGGAAGCGGGGAGTGACTGACACCAAAGAGAATGGGAAGCGTTTTCGGTTGGCTTGAATGGGATGGGAAAATGGTGTACAGGCGCAAGCATGGTGTCCAGTCAGTATAGACAATTTCGGTGGACTGTAACATTATGTTGATTCAATGAAACGTCGCCTTGCGACCAATGATGTTCATGTCATCTCAGATGATTCTTTCCATGTCCCAATCTATCTTCAGCTCATAGTGACAGCTCGCTCGTATCTGTATTATTTATTCCTTGTCATGTCCAAAATCATGCTGACGACACAAGGGTGGTTGTCTTTACATCAGTAGACTGCTTGAGACCACGGACCACCAAGATGGTGCTCGTCGTAGATCTAAATAGGGATCGTGGCGCCAGTGCCGTCCGTCATGCAGGCAATCTATCCTTGTGCTAACCCCGTCGTCGCCCATAAAGCAATTACTTGCTGCAAGCTTGATCCTGTCACCAAAGCCCGTCCATCTCGGCCATAGCGGCTTCTTCATCTGCGAACTCTTCCTCTACTGACTTGCCGGTGTGCTCCTGGGCTATTGGTGCTTGTGCATGGGTTGCTCCATCCGCTTCAGCCATGAGCGCGTCAAGATCGTCGTCGTCGGGTTCCTCAGGCTGTAAGGCGGACACTCCCATATCCTGCTTCCTAGCCAACGGTGTTGAACTGTATATGTCTTCTACATCCAGTATGTCTCCACGTTCTGGTGTTTCCAGGTTTTGTTGTGGAGGGACAGTTGCCGAAACTGGTGCAGTGGGGGGTTCGGCTGTTTGCTCTGGTGCCTCTTCCACCGTATCTTCTGTTCTGTCCTCGTTTGCATCCCATGGCTTGGGCTTGCCCTCGTTGATCCACTCCATGCGCTTGAGTACAATCTGCCTCTTGTGGCCGGCTTTTTCAACCATGCTCAGAGCGTCGAGAAACTTCGCCTTGGGGAAGAGGTCGTCAAGCCAAAGCTGGTAAAAGGATAGAAGACGCGCAGCATCGGAGAACTAGAAAATGCCGCCTCAGCACGGGATCAAAATCGCAGGAGAAGGTGGAACGAGCATACCTCGTGTCCTTTGCCCTTGAACTTGAGGTTACCGGCGCGTTTTCGAAGTTTAGGTATCCCGTTGTCTGACAGTAGCCTGTCAAAGATCAGTAACTCGTAGTATCGAGCATATGAGATACCAACCGAGCTTCGTCCAGCTTTACGCGTGGCACCCGCACTCTTTTAGCCACCTCGACCTCCTCATCAAGGCCCAAGGCTTCGGCCTGCTTTCTTTTGTTCGTGCTCCCATCTTTCGCCTCGGGCGGTGGGGATTTGAATGGGTCGTCGAAGTCGTCATCAACATTGTACACGTCGAGATCGTCATATTCAGGTACGGTTCTGGAAGCCATCGCTCGAGTTTCACTATTCGATCCGTCGTAGTTGTGCGGAATCTGCCCAAGAAGAGTCGCTGCCGCCTTGTGCATTCCGAGAAACGCGGAATGTCACTCGAGGTCGCGTCTTCAATTAAACGACGCGTCGGCGCAGCTTGGTCCTCCAGGGGTCTGCAACTGTCGGGGAGGTGGTTCATGTGTGCGCCCACTTGAGTGCAAAGCCACACCTATACTGGTCTGTGCTCGGGACTGTGTTCTGCCTCAGGCTAATCTAGTGGCTTGGCCCCAATCAGCGTCCGCTCATATCTAATTCGACATCTGAATCGACCGCTGAGAATATAGAGCTATCGGCCATCATCGACGCAATCGGGCCTCGCATTGCCGTCCGCTACAATGGCTACCGCACAAGCGCAGACTTTCACTCCGACCAAGGTCGTGAGGAGTGATTACCCGGTAAGACCCTGATGTATATCTAAAGGCAAATATGAGCTGACACATCTCTCTCTTCGCAAAGCTCATCGATAACGACCCGTATGCTCCGACCCGCCCGCCGCAGCCTCCATAGGATCAGAAGCTAACAGAGAACGACTACAGCCACTTCAAAAGAGTTGTCGGCTATGCCAGGCCCTCCGATTATCTACATGGTGCTGTAGCTGCTGCCTTCGGTCCCGGCGCTCTCCTCGCCCTGGAGAAGTTTGCTCCTTCCCACGTTGGCAAGGGAGGTATGGCTCAGGCTTTACGCTTGGCTGGAGCCATTGGTGTGGCTGGTGGCTTTCTATACTTTTACCAGCGCTCTAGCTGTAAGGATATGTATCCGGGCGACCTTTACGGATGAAGAAGGTTGCATGGGGCGCAGAATGCTAACGAGGTCGGCTTACAGTGCGGTTTTACGGGGCCACCGAGAACGCTCGCGAAGTTGAGCTGGACATGAAGGAAATGGTTTCCAAGGTCAAGGCTGGCGAGCCGCTTTACGGAGAGAGCAGATTGACTCCTCACTTGCAAGGCGTCGCTGCGCGACAATCTAGATATTCGGCCTTGTTCATGGGCGTTATTCCTTGGTTCAACTTTGTCAACCACAATCAACATGGCGTTGATACGGCCAAGTACTATCAGCAGGCTGAGAGGGAGCTCGAAGCTGAGCGTACACAAAAGGCTAGCCCATGATATCATTCATTGGTGATCATATGGGTTCAAACGAGTGTGTATTATAGCTTAGGCACAAAATTGGTAGCCTTGGAAGGGCATTTTAGCAATTACGCTGAAAACTTCCTGAATTTCCTTCAAATCCATGATGTCTTCAGATCTGACCTGCCATTGCGGGGAAGAGGCGTGGGTCTGCGCCAGTGTCGTTGTAACGGTTGCGAGTGACCAAGCATCATTTCTTGAGCATCACCATCGTGCCGCCCAACATGTCCACCCATGGTAATGAAACTGCCATTATCACATCTATAACTACGCGCATGGCTGAGAGTGGATGTTAGGGCACAGAGGCTATTAGGACAGCTTAATACCGCCCAGAACCCGCTCAAACAGTGAGGTTTCTTCACTGGCTTCGTTCCATATTGCCTAATGCAGAAAGGCTGATACAAAGACAGTACGTTTCTCTACGACCTCGTCGTCGATCGATCCGGCACTGAATTCGGGCCCCTGAGCACTTTCCGTCACTCGAGGCCTGGTTTCCCTGTAGACAAAGTTGACCTTCGATTAAAATATGCTTGATTAGAATAAATAAACTCCTTGAGGTAATTGGTCGCCGAATTTCTTTACACATATCTGGCAGCCGGTCATATTAACACAACAAGACTGTGGCGAGTGAGATCCAACAAACTGTTGAAAGGTCTACAAGCAAAGAAGTAGACGCGGCATTGGTGCTGGTAGGAGACGGCGCAGAAGTGGTGGCGGCTTCAGCTGCGGCTGTCGTCATCATTGTCTTCGTCGTCGCGGTCTGGCTAGTACTAGATCGAGTTGTGGAAGTTGAGGTCGCCTTGTCTTCTGGATCTCCTTGCCTAACAACCTTCAAGGTGTAGTTACTGGCTTCAAAGTGCATGTCGCCAGCGGCATGTTTGATTTCGGTGCCCAGCTCGAGTTGCCCTAGCCATATTGCGCCTGACAGCATACCCTTCTTCCAGATATAGGTGAGCAAAGGTCCGTAGTCGGCATCGGTCTTGGTGAGGTTGGTGCGAGCCAACCATGAAAAAACATGTTGTCCCCCATCATTCCAGCCATGGTACAATGAGAAAGGGGTGCCGTCGATGGTGACGGTGTCTTTGTCGGGAGTGGACTCGGCCCATCCTAGTGGTTTTACAGTTGGCGTCCACCAGGGCCAAATCATGATTTCAATGGGGGCGCCGACCATGGTTGAGTTCTCCTTGTTATCGGACAGGAACATGTCGACAGCAACGTTGGCGTAGAGCGAAACATCATCGAAAGCCTGGGCCTGCTGCTCAGCACTGGCCTTTTCTTTGCCAGCAACGTAAGTCTGCCAGTTCCCTGTGACCTGTAGTTGAGTGACGTTCCATAGCTGGACAGGGAGCCTAGTCGGATGAGCCTTCATGTACGGGTAGCCTTTGACAAGAGATGCATCTCCGGTCCATTTGTAGGAGACACTGAAGCTACGGCCATTATCATGGACGGCCATGCATTGGTAGCCCGAACTGTCGTTTCCCCAGGCATTATTATTGACTGCCGCGTTTGTCAGTCAGCGGTCGTGGTTATGAAAACAGCTGCGTCGATTCAGAAAGCTACACACATGAATACGGAACTTCAGTAGAGTTCCACCAGTCTGACTGACCACAGAGGTCGATATTTTGTGAATCCGCAGCTACAAGTCCAGACAATTGAAATGTGGCCAGGAGTCCCAAGGTCGAAAAAAATGCAAATGCCATGATTGCCCAATTATTCCGAGTCTATCCTTTGTCGAAGCAGGGCGCCAGAGTGCAAGTAACGAGTGAGTACGGGCGAGTTCACCAGAGAAAAGCAAGTAGTATTGAACGAGAGTGAATAGAAACGTTTTCAGCCAGTCATGGTGAGATTGCGAAATCGCCGTGCACGAGCGTGGAAAACAAAATACGCTGCAATTGAGCTTCGAAACGAGTCGGAAGACGAGGGAGTGAGGTTCGAAGGTTCTCGAGAACGAAATGCCGTTGCCTGGGCGAGCCTAAGCGTAAGACAAAAACACGACTCTGTGCCACACATCGCCCCTTCGCCTCTTGCGGTCCCGCTCTCATACGAGGGCGTTCAAGCCATGATACGCCCAGACATTAGTGATGGACCACCAACAAACGAAACACCGGCCAATGAAACAACAACGATCGCTTACAAGGACCAAAGCCTGGCTGACGGGTACGAGCTATGCCACATGAAATTTGAGGATTGGAGAGAGAGGAAGCCCCTATTCTTAGCTTTCTCCACCACCGTCCTTGGCTAGTGGGGATACGTTTTACGCGTCGTGGGTAAGACTGTTCGAGAGTGCTAAGAACGCGGTAGTTAAAAAAAGAGAGCCAATTTTGAGGATTTGTTTCCACCTACCTAAACCACTACCAAAATTAATAATAACTAATAACTCTTAAAATATAATATTTTATTATTTAGCTTAACGTACATAATAAGCGAGCTAGCTAAATAAGCGAGCTAGCTAAATAAGCGAGCTAGTTAATAAGTAAGCTAGCTACTTAACTACTATTATATTATTTTTATAATTAATAAGTAGTATTTATAAAAGTAATTTACCCCCCAATAGAGCAATCCGCTAGGGCCGTACTATATATTACGTATTAAAAAAGACCTAAGTATATTACGCTCTATACTTAATTATTAATTAAAACTCCTAACTTTTTACTATTTTTAATTATTTAGAGGGCGAGCTATACTTATTTTAATATATATAAAACCTCTTAATATTAGCTTATATAAGTAACTAGATCTTATATTATATACTTCTTTTTATTAAGGGTTAAGAGGCCCTTTATATATTTTTTTATATTTATAATATAGCTTATTTATTTTTTTATTCTACTTTTATTAACTACTTAGGCAATTTTTAATATCGTTTATATAGTATTAATATATAATATTAGTAAATACTTATACTATCTCGCTAAACTATTTTTTTAAATTTTCTAACTTTTTAACTTTTCCTCTTATAAAGTTTATAATTATGGATTATTAATAGCGATAATAAGTACTACTATTTTATAAACTTATTACGTACCTAACTAAGTTAGCTACTTTTTTAAATAATAATAGCTTATAATAGTAATATTAGAGATACCCTCGTTACTATTATTAAGAATAATATTAACCTTACGATATTTATTTTAGTACTTTTAACTTTATTTATATATATATATATTCGTTACCTTATTTCTTTTATTAAAGTTAAAAAACGCTTCCCTTATTATTTATTACTATTACCCTATTACTATTACCCTATTACTATTACTTTATTATTATTATTATTATTATTATTATTAAATTATCTACTTATTTTTAAATATATACTATTAAAATACTAAAATACGTAGTTATTATTAACCCCTAGGGCTTCCTTAATAACTAAAAGTTCGATCCTATAAATATTATATTAAAAGACCCCGGACTATAATACGGCCGTTTTAAAAAATATAAATTAGATATTATTAACTTAAAAATTAAAAAGATATATATTAATATAGCTATTATTTTAATAAGCGCTCAGCTTATATAATATAGTAGCTTTAAAATACTTAATTAATTTTAAAATATTATTAATACTTTAAAAACGTAGTATAAGAGTAGGTTAAGAAAGATTAAAAAGGATATTTTAAAGTTATTAAATAAAATAAAAAATAAGGGGTAGTTTTTAGCTATTTAGAGGGCGATTAATATATTATAGCAGGATTATTAATATTTAATAATAGCTATAGCTAGTTATTATTAGTTATAAAGTTTATTATATAATAAAAATACTTAATATTAACCTTAATAAACTAGTTTATTTATAAAAGCGAAGATAGCCCCTAATAAGGCGGACCGGACCCTAAAGGGATAATATAGCTTATATTAAAAAGATTTTTAGTTTTATAAAATATAATTTCTAAACTAATATTAATATATTAAATCTTAATATTTATATTAACTTAATTATTTATAATATTTATATTATTACTTAGTTAAATTCTGTATTATTAAAAAGTACTTTATTACTTCTTAAATATACTTATTTATTTTTATATTCTACTTTTACTAGCTACTCGGGCGATTCTTAATATCGATTATACAGTATTAATATATAGTATTAATAAATACTCTTATTATTTTAGTAAACTATTTTTTTTTAGATTTTCCTTAACTTTCTTTTTTATAAAGTTTATAATTACAGATTATTAATAGCGATATTATTATAGTTAGCTAGTTATAATAAGTATATTAATAAAAGTTAAGGCTACGAATACTAAATAAATAGTATTATAATTATAAATAGCTTCCCTAAAGCTATATTTATAAATTATAAAATAAGTAAGGCTTCGGTAATTAATTATAGTTTTATTAAAAAGGGTTTTTAGAAAAAATAATTAAAAATAATTATAAGATCTAATACTAAGTTAATTATTAAAAAAGCTATAAAAAGTCTATTTTTAAGCCTAGTTTAAGTTTATATTATATATAAGTCCGCTTATAAATATATCCTTTATTAATAATTACTTTTATTCGTTAAGTAATTACTTAATAAATATTAATAAGTAATTATTTAGAGTAATTATAATAATTACCTTATTACGTAATTACTACTTTTTATTTATATATAACTTATTTATAGTTTTTTTATTTTATAGAAATTACTTTATATTTTTATATTTTTATATATATAATATATTATAGCTATTATAAGCTTATGGGGCGGGCCCTAGTTTTAGTTATATATATTAAGTTATAATATTAGGTCTTTTTTAATACTATGTATTAATACCGTATAAATGACATCGAAAATCGCCCGAGCAGCTAGTAAAAATAAAAATAAAAAACAAATAGCCTAAGTTAGGGCCCGTTAAGTAGTTCTTTAAAAATACTAAAATATCCGCTAGATTTTTAATATATTATTAATTAAAACTTATTCTTAAAATTAAGGAGTAAGGATTTAAAATCGAAATACTTTACTTATTTTATTATTTATTAGGACGAAAATATAAAATACTAAAAAGTAAATTAAAATATTATAAATATATATATCGTAATCGTTTTTATAATATAACTACTAATATTATATATAATTATAAGTTTTTTTTTATTAGTATTTTTTATATTAATTATATTTATAATAGATTATTTTTTATTTAAAATTAATAAGCTAAAATATAAAAAAAAAGTAAAAGAGCTTTTTTTTAAAAAATGGGTAGAGGCTTTACGTTATATATAAGTTAAAATAGATTAATCTCTATTAAAATTAAATCGTTTTTAAAAAGAAAAAAATAGTATTTAAAAAGAAAAAAGTAATTCTTAATCTTTTTAATATTATTAATAAGGATAAGTTAGCTGCTACGTAAAAAGCGTAGTTTAATAGTATTTTTAAAATAATTAACTAAGATATTATAATAATTAAGAGTTCTAATTTTAATTTTAATTTTAGTATTTTAAAAAGGATCCCTAAAAGTTCTAGAGGTTTATAATAAGTTCTTATATATTTTTTTTATATCTATAATTTTTTTATTCAATTAGAAATTCCTATATTTTATTTTTAATTTTATAGTTAATAATTTGTTTAATTTTATATTCTAGTTAGTTTAATTTAATAATAATATAATCTTTTATATATAAACCTTTTAATATAAGTTCGAGTAATAAAATATAAAAAACGGAATAGTATTATATCGTATTTAGTAGTTTTAATTTATAATTAATTAGTAAGACTCTTTTAATAATTTCGAAAGGTCTAAGTTTTTTATAATTTAATTTATTACTTAGTCGTTTCGTTTTAATATTATAATAAAAGAGATAAGTACTATTCCCCTTTTTTAAAAATAGTTTTTTTAATTTTTAATCTATCCGCGTTTTTTTTTATATACTATTATATTTATTTTTTTATTCTACTTTTATTAGTTACTTAGGCAGTTCTTAATATCGATTATATAGTATTAATATATAGTATTAATAAATACTCTTACTATCTTAATAAACTATTTTTTTTAAATTTTTTAACTTTTAACTTTCTCTTTTATAAAGTTTATAACTACGGATTATTAATAATAATATTAAGTACTTAACGCTATTACTTTATTAGCCTATACTTACTTAGCTAAGTTTACTACTCTCTAAGTAATAGTAATTTATAATAATATAGTATTAAAAATACCCTCGTTACTATTATTAAGAATAATACTAACCTTATTAATATACGCTTTTAACTTTAACTCGTATATATATATATATATTCGTTACTTTGTTTCTTTTATTAAAATTAAAAAACGCTATATCTTTTACTATCTATTACTATTACCCTATTATTATCGCCCTATTATTATTACCTTATTATTATTATTATTATTATTATTATTATTAAATTATTTACTTATTTTTAAATATATACTATTAATATACCGAGATATATAATTATTATCGACCCCTAGGGCTTTTTTAATAATTAGAAATTCGATCTTATAAATATTATATTAAAAGACCCCGAACTATAATATAGCTATTTTAAAAAATACGGATTAGATATTATTAATTTAAAAATCGGAAAGATATATATTAATATAATTATTATTTTAATAAGTACTTAATTTATATAATATAATAGCCTCGAAATACTTAACTAACTCTAAAATACTATTAATACTCTAAAAACGTAGTATAAGAATAAGTTAAAAAAATTAAAAAGGATATTTTAAAGTTATTAAATAAAGTAGAAAATAGGGGGTAGTTTTTAATTATTTAGAGAGTAATTAATATATTATAGTGGGATCGTTAGTATTTAATAATAACTACGGCCGGCTATTATTAGTTATAAAGTTCATTACGTAATAAAAATATTTAATATTAACCCTAATAAACTAGCTTATTTATAAAAGCGAAGATGGCCCTTAATAAGGCAGACTAGACTTTAAAGGGATACGCTATTATATAAACTCGAGGTTTATTAATACTTATTTATAGATTTTTTTAAGTTTATTTACGTTTATTATAGCTTTTATAGTTTATAGTTTTTATTATACTTTTTTATATATTATTAACTAAAATCTATAGTTAAAATAAAACGGGGATTTTTTTATATTTTTATTAACTATATTATTATATACGAACTAAGCTATTAATAAAAATACTACTTAATTATCCTAGTCGTGGTTTATATAATAATAAAGGTATATTTCGAGTATTTAATTAATCCTTTTTATCTATTTATCGGTTTATAAATAAAATAATATCAATAGTTTATAGTCTATATTAAGTTACGAAATTAGAAATTTTTAAAACTTCGAAATAAATAGTTTATCTCTATTAGAGATAATTTCTTTTAGTAAACTATAGTTTAAAAATATAACTTTAATAAATACGTATATTAAGTCTTTTATAATACTAAATTCTTTATTAAAAATAAAGTAAGTAAACTTAGTAAGTTAGTTAACTATAATTAAGATACTATCGTACTATATTTTAGTAAATAGTTCTCTAAATTTTAATAATTTAATAATAAAGTCCTATATAATAAATTACTATATTTTTATTAGTAGTTATAATAGTTATAGCTCGCTATAAGGCTTATATAAGTTATTTTTATTTTTTTTATAAATTACGTAATTTTTAATTATTTTTATAGTTTTAGTACGTATAGCGGATTTATTATAATATTAATAAATCCGTTTTTACGTTTTAATAACCCTTTAGTAATTATATATTAATATATTATAAATTTTTATAATAAGCTTAGGGGTTATTTTTTTAGTTAGGCTAATATTAATTTTTTTAGCTATTATAAAAAGCTTTATAATTAATATAAAGCTACTATTCTTTACTTATTTAAAAATAACTTATATTTTTTTAAAAACTACGACTTTGTAATTAGGCTTTTTATTAAGAGCGTTTACTCTATTATTTTTTAAATCTTTTTAATAAATAATTTAAAAATTATATTTAAATAGGAATTCGCTCTATTTAATTTATTATTTATTTAAGTTCTTATTTATTATAAAGTTTATAAAATTCTTATAGTCTATATAAACTATAACTTTATACTTAATTCTAAATAACTATAATTTCTATTTTTAAAATACTTTAATAATTACTATTAGTTCTTTATTATAAATTTATTAATTTAATTTTATTCTATAGAATATTTTAAAATAAAAATAATATAAATAAAGCTTTTTTATTTATCTTATTATCTTAGGACCGCTCTGATAATAAAGTTTAAAGCGTCGGTCTTAATTTTAAAAAGTTTTTAAAGGTCCAGGATTATAATAACTAATTTAAAAACGACTATATTTTTAATTTTAATAAATACTTTTTTATACTTAGGATTTTAAATAAATAAAATATTCTTTCGTATTAAGTTATTAAAAAGTTTAATTATATTAATATAGTTTTTAAGGAATTATTAATAAAAATTAACGAATTTTAAGAATCCTTATACGTCTTTAACGTTTTATAATATAAGCTAATCTTTAATTACTTTTATTTTTAATACTTATATATAAATTTATTTTAGTATAATAATATATTTAAAGAAGTTTATTTTTTATATATAGAATTTATATTTAAAGGGCTTAGTATATAGTTTAGTATTTTAAAGTTTTTAAAATACTATATAAATATATTTCTTATATATTTTAAAATTAAGGGAGAAGATAAGAATATTATTAATATAAATAATAATAAAAATATTAACGTACTTTTAGAGTACGTAATTAATTATTATTTGAAAAGTTATTAAAGCGTTAGTAAGTTTAAAAAGTATAATAAAGTACTTAAAGAGTCCTTTATGAGTTTAAAATACCGTTTTTTATTTATTTCTTTTTTTAATCTAAATTTAGTTAAATACTTCTTTAAAATTTATAATAATAAACTAATTAGTTCTATAAAATAGATTTTTAAGTTTAGTAATAAGTAATAAAGGATAGTATTTTTTTTTATAATTTTATTAAGTCTTTTATAATTAATAATAAGTCTTCGTTTTTTTATTCTTTTATTTAATACGAAAAATAGAAATAATTTTATAAAAGAATTTGATAATTAAATATATCCTTTTTCGAGTTTCTTATTAATATATTTATTAAAATACTCTTATTCTTTTTAATTTATTAAGTATATTAAAAAGAACTTAGGTTACGTTTTTTTTTTTAAGTTTGATTTCTATATCCTAATTACTATATTTTAATAATCCTATTTCTTTAGGTTTTATAAATAATTTCGTATATATTTGATATTCTTTAAATATAGTTTAGAGTTACCCTTTGGGGTCCGGTCCGCCTTATTAGGGGCCATCTTCGCCTTTACGAGTAAGCTGGTCTATTAGGGTTAATATCGAGTTTTTATTATATAATAAACTTTATAATTAATAATAGCCGGCTATAAATACTAACGACCCCGCCGCTATAATATATTAATCGCCCTCTAAATAGCTAAAAACTACCCCCTACTTTCTACTTTTTTTTAATAATACTAAATGTTTTTTTTTAATTCTTTTTAATTTACTCCTATATAATAATTCTAAAGTATTAATAATACTTAGGAGTTAGTTAGGTATTTTGAGGCTATTATATTATATTAGTTAAATATTAATAAGGGTAATACTTATATTAATATACGTATTTCGGATCTTTAAGTTAATAATATTTAATTTATATTCTTTAAAACGACCTTATTATAGTTCGGGGTCCTCTAATATAATACTTATAGAATCGAACTTCTAGCCCTTAAAGCATCCCTATAAATCGATAAGTTAGCGTCTTAGTATTTTAATAATATATATTTAAAATAGATAATTTAATAATAATAGTAGTAGCGTAATAATAATAAATAATAAGGGAAGTATTTTTTAATTTTAATAAAAAAAACGAGGTAACGAATATATATATATATATAAGTCGAAGTTACCCCCCGACGGAGCAATCCGCCGGGGCCGTACTATATATTATATATTAAAAAAAACTAAGTATATTACGCTCTATACTTAATTACTAATTAAAACTCCTAACTTTTTACTACTTATTTAGAGGGCAAGCTATATTTATTTTGATATATATAAGACCTCTTAGTACTAGCTTATATAAATAACTAGATTTTATATTATATACTCCTTTTTATTAAAAATCAGGGGGCCCCTTATATATTCCTTTATATTTATAATATAGCTTATATTAAAGGAATTTCTAATTTTATAAAATATAATTTCTAAACTAATATTAATATACTAAATCTTAATATCCGTATTAGCCTAGCTATTTATAGCATTCGTATTATTACTTAGCTAAATTCTATATTATTAAAAAGTACTTTACTAATCCTTAAGTATATTTATATTAGTTATAATAACTATAGCGTTAAGCTAGTTAAAAAGGGTGCCTAGCCTAAAAAAGGTAGACTTATTAAGAAGTATTTTTAAAATAGGTTTTTATTAAAGTAGTAGTTTATATATTAATAAGTTTATTTAATAGATTTATTTAGTAAATTTATTTAGTTTAAATAGAGAGTAGCTTTAAGTAATATTAAAAACGAGGATAAAAAAAATCTTTACGAGGTTTAGTATAAGTAATAGATATTAGCTTATTTAGCCCTTTTTTTTAAAAACCTCTACGTCGCTATTAAAATTTAGAACTTTTATAATTAAGGAAGGCTACTTTTAACTATTACGGCTAACTATTATAGCTAATTATTACGGCCGACCTTTATTATTAACCTTTTTAGCCGGCGCTACTACCTTACTTATCCCGAATTATATAACGGTTTTTATATTAAAATTACTATATTACGTTAAGCGCGTACTTAAAGTATATTACGTATATTATATAGTTAAAAAGTAT